TAGTAGGAACTGCTCCTCCAGCCTCTAAACAACACACATCAGTCTCTTTACTCAACTAGATTTATGGTTTTTGGCCAATGACCGTGTCAAAATCAATGAACCCTTCAATTCTTGAATCTTAAGGGGGTTTGGATCACTTTCTTGAAAAAAATGCCAATGGTGTAATCTAGATAAAAATACAAAATTAAATGAGCATTAGAATTAGTTTTGATTTATAAGTCTACTGTGCAGAAGTTAAGCCAATCTGAAAAAAATAAATAAACTGGACTGGGAATTCCGTCCACCCAGGCCGATCAGCAACTTGTATTATACCCCAATGAATATACATTACTATTTACACCCACCGTGGTTTTGTGGGTATATTAAACTAATTATTTTTGTTACCAGAACTTAGTTAAGTGTTAGATAAAATATACTACTAAAAATTACTATAATAAATACTAAATAATTACTAAAACCGACATAACTAACAAAGAAGAGAAAAGATTAACCCATACATTCAAAAAAATTTAGTCTAAAAATTTCAAAAATAAACTATTTACTTGTCTATCTTAACTGAACAGCTTCTTTATTAAAAAACACCTTTTGCAACAAAATGTGTAAAGTAAAAATGATTAGATTTAAAAATTAGATTAGTAAAAAGACCAATTTTATCAGTAACAAACCTGCAGCATTTAAATAGCACAGCATGAATTATGAAGCCTTTGTATGATTAATAAAATTTAAATAGTAATAAAAATAAAATAAAATTCAACAATATGAAATGAATGTCATAAAAATAAACTTTCACATACCATGTTTGAATTCAAAGATCCTTGAGGTATAGGAACAACATGCAATAAGTAATTGACAAATTGGTTGCAAACACACAAAGACAAACATTGGCATTTTGACAGGACTTATTAATATCAAACACACGGCTTATGTTAAATGAAAGCGTACACAAAATAACAAAACCGACTGAACAAGCATCACATTAGGCTTTATGTATCAAGCTAAGAACAAAAAATATATTTTCTCCTACTACTATTATTTCAGATAATACCCTAGACACTAGGCACAATAAGAAATAAATTATAATCAACTACATATTAAATAACAATAAAAATATGAAAAATTAATTTTGTCTAAATATTTAACCTGTAACGCAAGCTAAGCTAACCCAAAATGTAATGTAAACTAAAGCAATTGATTATATAAGTTTAAATAACCAAACACAGTAGTTGTAAACACAGCATACCATGTTATTGCTAACTTTTTTATCCAAAGTTCCAAATGATTTACGTAATTTTGCTTAAGAATTTGAATTAAAACAGATTATTGCTGATTAATAAACACACAACTTTAGGCTGCTACTTGTTCGGTCGAACGTGCTTATGCTGACATGCCAATTAAGTAGTTATAATGGGGTATATACAGGGTGGAAAATAAGTCCCGGGACGGTTAAATATTAAATGTATCAAAACTTGGTACACAATTACTGGGCAATAAAATAATTTTAATATATTATTATTGAGTGATGCCCTCAGGGTGATGGGCCCGCTAGGAGTCAGAAGAAAATCTTTTTATGTAAACGTAGGTTGTTATGTGCATGTGAATCGGCCATTTTGAATCTATGAATGGCTGCCATTTTTTTACTTAGTTGTTCTTTTGAGTTTAATTTTGCGGCATTGTATTCTACTGATAAAGATCTTTAATTTGATGTGCATATCAACCTACGCATAGATTTATGATTTTATTTCTACTTCTAGCGGGCGCCCCCCTAGCCGGCCCCTGAGGAGGTAGTGTATTGCAGTACATGGAAATTCAATGCATCTTTAAAGCTTTCATTTTTTACTCGGTTGTTCATTTGAGTTTGGGTTTTCAGCGTTGCATTATAATAACAAATGCCTTTAATTTGATGTGCATATCAACCTAGCAGGCCGTCACCCTGAAGAGGAAGCGCATCACTGAATAATGTGTTAAGATGAGTTACTTTTTGAGCTATTTAACCCATTTGCGCTGAATTACAAGTGCCGCTCGTGTCACCGCTACGCAGCGCCACTAGTTATTTAATTATTATTATTTTCCCCCTTTTTGTTTCTTCTTACTTTTATAATGTTTATAAATATTTTGCTTCTTGATTTGCATATTTACTCATTTATTTTAGCGAATAACAAACAATTTTGTGTTGCCATGGAAACCAGATACAGTAGACTCCCACTTATCCGGACTCCTCGGGACCGAGGCCAATCCGGATAACGGTTTTTCCGGTTAAACCGACGTCCCCAAAAACTTGTTAAAACAGACTGTTTACTGTGATATTTGAAATAAATTTATGAGAGCATTGTATTTAGACACGTGATCACTGGTCTCAAATCTTTCCCACGAGAACAGTCGTTTCAGTACCGCCCACTTCCTGCCGATCTAGTCCGGTTAAACCAATGTGCTGATAAAAATTGTCCGGTTAAAGAGATGTAATTTCTGCCGATTGCAATCCGGTTAAACCGATGTCCGGTTAAACGGTGTCCGGATAAGAGGGAATCTACTGTATCACCAAAAAACAGCTGCGGTATGGTAAACAAACAAATTTTTGTCTACCTTATTAAAAGTACACAAATTTGGATTTTTCTACTTAGGGAATCAATTGAACTTTATAATTGTAGTGTTATTTGGTGTCTGGATTAATCTAGGAATTTGTAAATCAAGTTTACTTTCAAAAAATTGTTTAAAAATTTTTATTTTTATAATCTTTATAATTTTAGTTTTTTTTAAGTTTTACACTTTGACTATCCAATTACCACTTTTCTGTAGACGGTTTTACTGTTATCAAAATGGTGAAAGAATTATTAGTTTATTACCTAAGGTTTTCTTTCTATAGCAATTAGAGTAAAAGTCTAAAAATTCGGTAAAATTAATTGCCGATAGAGGGTGCTGCAGGCAGCGCATTAATTCCTTCCCCAATGGGTTAACTGTCCCGTAACTTTTTTCCACCCTGTATTTCAATTCATAAATTAGAATGACAAAAACCTCAAGTTCCATGCCATATTTATTAATAAACAGCTGTTTTTAATTTTTTTTTTAGATTATCATAATTTTTAGCAAACTTTTAATGGAAATGTGAGTTATTGGTATTGACCACACAAAGTGACTGCCACAACCACAATTTTGTTTTCCATATAATATTTTTTTAAATACTGATGTTTTTGTTTAATGATTAATACGAGGGCTATACAGAAAGTAAGGAACGTTTGATTCTGACGCCGCTAGGCGTGTGCCGATCTCGTACATTGTGGTGCATGTGAAGTCTGAACTTGGAGTCCTGAATTCCAATCATTTGGATTTCCCTGATTTGTGTGTCGGAGACAAGCAATTAAAAGATGGACAAAATGTGGTAAATTTTCTCAATGATAAATTTTGTAACATTTACAAAAATATAAATTGTATGCCTTGCTTACACACTGCAACTAATTTGATTAATAATACTAGTAGGCCTAATAATATAAGAATGAAATTTCAGTTCAGACATGTATCGATTTTAGAAATTAAAAAAACCGTTAGAAATTTAAAAAATAAAAAATCTTCTGGATGGGATGAAATTCCTATTGAATTAATTAAAAATGTCATAAACCATATTGCAGAGCCTCTGTGTCTAGTAATCAATCAATGTTTTGATGAAGGAATTTTTCCCTATCAATTAAAAAATGCTGAGCTGAAACCACTTTTCAAAAAAGGCTCAGTAATGGACCCTGATAACTATCGTCCTATTTCAATACTCCCATCTTTGTCTAAAATCTTTGAAAAAATTGCTTACAACCAAATCTATTCATATTTCGAAAATAATGATTTATTTACCAATAAACAATATGGTTTTAGATCTGGGAAAAACACTATATCTGCTGTCTCAGATTTCATAAATCAGGTTTCTGATGGCTTGGATGGGTCTCAGAGCACAGCTGCGGTGTTCTGTGATCTATCCAAGGCATTTGATTGTGTAAATTACAATATATTAATGAGTAAACTTAAATATTATGAATTTTCTGATATGGCTTTGTCTTGGATGCATTCATATTTGACTAACAGACATCAAAGAACAATAATCGTAAAAAATGGTAAAAAATGTATTTCACAGTGGCTTAACACTAAATGTGGGGTTCCGCAAGGGTCAATACTAGGCCCCTTGCTATTTTTAATATTTATAAATGACTTACCTCGAAATGTATCGTCTAACCTTATCTTATATGCTGATGACACAACAGCAATAGTTAAATCAAATAATTTGCAAAATCTTAAACAAGAAATCAGTCTTTCTATTCTTAATTTATCTAATTGGTTTACAGCCAACGGGCTAAAACTTAATAATTCTAAAACACAGGTGATGTTATTTCAAACAATTCAGAATAGGCAAAACTCCACTGTTGAATTATCTTATGATAATAATATTATATCCTTTACTGAAAATGCAAAATTTTTGGGTTTAGATATCGATAAGAATTTAACATGGAAAACACACATAAAAATGGTAGTTGGTAAATTAAATACGGCTTGCTTTCAAATGTATGTTTTGAGAAATGTAATAGATTTAAAAACTAAACTCACAGTGTACTATGCAATGTTCTTTTCTGTCTTGCAATACGGGATTGAATTATGGGGAGCAACTTCTTATTCTAAAGCAGTTTTCAAAATTCAGAAGAAATTTATAAGGATTTTATCATTTATGCCTAAAAGAACCTCATGCAGAGCTTTATTTGCTAAATATGAGATATTAACTTTGCCTTCACTTTATATATTTAAAATGATGGTGAATTTTAAAATTAACTATCAAATGTACAATGATAAACAAATCAGTCATCCATATCTTACACGCTCAAAAAATTTTCAATATCCAAGACATCGCCTTTGTTTATATGAAAGATCTCCTTATTATATGGGATTAAGGCTTTACAACAGTTTACCCACTAATTTTAAAGAAATTAACAGTATTTCAAAATTTAAAAATGATTTCAAACGATACCTTTTACAGAAAAATTATTATAATATTTCCGATTATTTAAATGATAAGTAAATATATTTTAGTTTAAGCTATGTGGATTTTAGTTTTGTTATGTAACTTAGTGTTTAAGATCTCTGACAATATCACCTGTTTCACCAGCTAACGCTGGATCTGTGAAATGTTTTGTGATAATAAAGTAATATTTCATTTCATTTCATTTCATTTCATGTGCACTCGGCAACTCAGTCGGCGTCCAGCCGTGGCAACTGGAACATCTCTGCGCTGGCTGTTTTTTTTGCAATTTCAAATGAAGATGTGCGTTGCGATTTAAAATCCCGCCAGTTGTGAGGTGCGGTCAGTGATATGGTTTTTGTTGGCAAAAACTTAAAACAGATAGAAATTTATCCCCAAATGTAAAGTTAACGGAAAAAATATAATGAATGAAAGTTCTGTTAAAATTGTGCATTCAGTTTAAAAATGGCCGAACTGATGTTCTCGATGAAGCGAAGAGCGCTCGCCCGAGCATTGTAACTGATGTACTGGTCTCCAAAGTTGATGAAAAGGTTCGCGAAAACCGCCGATTCAATATAACGGAGCTTTTGTGAAACAAAATTACAGTCCATGGAGTGGAGGCACAAAAGGTCCCCTAAAAACCCAATAAAATGTTTGCAAACATTGTCAGCAAGGAAGATTATGGCGACGGTTTTTTGGGTCAGGGAAGGTGTGCTTCTTGTTGACTTTCTCTAATGTGGTGCAACAATAAACTCTGAGCATTACTGTGAAACTTTGCACAACCTTAGGGGAGCCATTCAAAACAAGCACCAAAGTGAATTGACGTTGGAAAATTTTGTTTGTGCATGACAATGCCCGACGACCTCACAGATCAAACCGCACTTTGGTGCGGTTATAACTCCTTTTTGACAAGGTTTTGAACTCCTTTACTTTTTCAAATGGGAGGTTTTCCTCATCCACCCTATAGTCTGGACCTTGCACCAAGCGATTTTCACTTTTTCCAAGAATGAAGACCTGGCTAGCAACACAGCGCTTCGACAACGAGGAGCTCAAGGTGTGCGTCTTGGAGTGGCTGAGATCGCAGGCGGCAGACTTCTATGATGAAGGAATTTCAAAGCTTCTGCACCAGTACGATAAGTGTCTCAATTTGTTTGGCGACTACGAAGAAAAGTAGTATTTTAATTGCTCTTTCTGATGTATATAGTAAAGTTATTGTACTTATACGATTTTGTTACAGCTGCATTTTAATCATAACAGGTTTAAAAAACCCTATTCTACGTTTGGCATATGTCAACAAGTGCATAGAAAACTTGGTGGGATCACAGTTCAGTTTTAAAACAAAACGATTTGAACAAAAAATGTAGACCTTAAAATAAATAAGTAGCCTACAGATAATGCAAACCCTAAAACTTGAAAATGAAGATCACAATTGATTGTTCCCTAGAGGGGAACCAAATGACCCAAATTACAAACCCAAGCATTAAGCATATTTAGCTGATCATTGGTCCAATATGTTTAACAATTATGATAGAAAATAATGTGTTATTTTTGTGGGTTCATGATATAGGGATGGGTCGGTTGCTAAAAAATGTTCGAGTTTATCGGCTATTGTGCAATCATTTTGCCCTGTTAGGAGGACATATAAAAGGTTACTTAGATGTTTGTTGACTTTCATAACTTAATAATAGGGTGATGATGCAATAAAAAACCCATTAGCAATCCCCAAACCCACTAATATGATATCATGACAAAAATCATTTTCTTGTACCGGTACTCAAGGTCAAGTCAAGTATATCAAAGAACTGTGCAATCTAAGTTCATAAAAGTTTTATCACTTTGATTGTTACTCACTTCTATTCCTTTATGGCTTCCATTATTTATTACTAGGGTAATTATGAAATCCCAAACTCAGTTTATCATGGAAATAATAGTTTAATTATGGTGATTAAATTTTGCCGCTGAAAGTATTTTTGTTGTACAGCCTGGAGTTATAACCTTGAATTTTAAAATACGACAATAATAATTATTGTGAAATGTACCTAAAGATACCATAACTAAATGAGGTTAGGGTATTTTTTCTAACTTAATCTTGCTTTGAAATATAGTAGGCATCACAGTTACAATTTTAAACATGGTTTCTACCTTTACATGAGTAGGCCTGAAGAAAATAATTTTATTTAAACAAGTGATTTAAAAATGAAAACCGAAAACAGTTTTTAAAATAATTGAATCAAAACGAGACTGTTAAATCAGCTACCGACCCAAGACTATATTTCATGATTCTTAACATGAAACATATTATATAAACCTGATGATTAATGGGCTTGTTTAAGAATATTTGGATAAGAAAAGATTAAGTAGGTCAAACAAGTTCTTAAACATATTGTTAATTTTGTTACTTTTAACCTGTAAAGAATCTGCAGGGTATTGTAATGTTTACCTAGCGCAACTAGGAAATTCAATACCAGGAATGAGATGGTTTTAAAGTTGACCCCAGGAAGTTGAGCTTTTAAATCCAGTCATTTAACATAAAGTATATATTTTATAACCCTAAAATACTAAGATTGGGACTTTCTAATCCATAATTGCCACAGGGGTCCTGGGATATGATTTTGGGATTGAATTCCCAAATTTAATGTGAAGCAACCCAACTGTTGCCATTGCATTTTGGCAGCAGACATTCAAAGTAAGAAGCCTATTGATGATAAAAGCAAAACAGTACATCCCAAGTTAACCAGTGCTAGAAAGGAGTGGATGATTCTTGGGGTGGATCAAAGAGGGTGCTTGTGACCCTGGGACGAGGTATGCTAAAGCGTGAGGAGTAGGAAGAGGAGGAGTGAGCGGGATGTGAGCGTAGTGAGTGAGTGGCAGAGCGAGTGCGAGTGAGGGAGCGAGGGGTTGGGGGCAGGGACACACTCTTTGAGTGTCTTCGTTGTCCACAAGTCGCCAACTCATAGTGGAACTGATCCTCCAGGAACTATAACAAATAACCAGGAATCCTTAGTCATGCATCCTTCTACAATTATTATAATGGAAAAAGTTAATGCCGCTTCCCTGGGCAATTGTGAATAGGTGCATCTTACACACCTATACAGCTGGACATCAACCTCGAATTGAAAACTAAGTACAATAATCAGTTTAGTAGAAAGTTAAATAAACCATTTAAAATTAATTGGAGTTTACCTTAGAAGATAAGGAATTTACAACTACTTTTAATTTAATCTAACGTTTATATTGTATGGTGAATTAGTATGTTTATGATGACCAGCTTGCTGATTTGAAGACTTTTCACATTGTTTTGGGTGTTCGGGAGCAAGTAAAATTTTTGAGAATGATTTGAGTCAAATATTACAAAAATGTAAACTGGTGTTCATTGAATATTACAGCACAATCAAAACTAATCTGTTATGCTATTTTCTAATAACATTAAACATACATTGAGTTAAATTTAAAATGGTATTAAAAAGAGGGTTTCTGTGGTATGAATTTGCCCCAGTCCCATCCCAATCCTTAAGTTTTTCACCACCCGCATTCCTAATTTAACAGAAATTAAATTATAAACATTAAAAACCTTGACTATAGATCTCAAAAAAATATTTATACATTATGGAGATATTTAAGTACAAAAAATAAAATCATGATTTTAATGTTTAATTATACAGAGAGGCCATTTTTACACAGACGTCACAAATGCAACTTAAAGGCCCTCCCGTCCTGTAGGTGGTTCATCCTGGTGATAAAATGTTTGAACAGTATTACTAAATCTAGAGGTTCAATGTTTACCTGTTTGCGAGGCTTGAGCTGAGCTTTCCACTCCTTCAACTCCCTGGAGTACATTTCCTCTTGCTCCTTCAGCTTAAGAGTCTCATGCTCCATCAGCATCTTTCCTATTGTTTCAAATTTAATATTACATTTGGGTGAAAAACTTCTAGAATATACTGTTGACATTTCTTTAAAAATCCCAAGTTAGTTGCATAACTATACTAGGGATTAACTTGCAATTGAAAATTAAATAGGAAGCCTTTAGTGATAAATGTTTGAAATCTTTCTGAGGGTTGATGTGATGAGAGCAACTAATATATGCTATTTAGCTGTAATTATTATTTTAACAGAGAATATATTTGAACAAGTATTTGTAATTGATAATTTGAAGTGGTTGTAACTGTCTGTGGTCCTACTCACTCTTCTCATTCTGAAGCTGCTCCAGCTCCCTGATGGTAGTATCAGCAGCTGCTCTCAGCTCCTCCAATTGGTGCTGATGTTTCAGTTCAAACCTCAGTGTCTCAGCACGGTAACGCTTCTTCTCATTCTCCTGGAACTGCAACAACAAACAAAAAATTGAATCAACAGATTGTGAAATTGGTTTGATTAGAAAGGTCTTATCCATTGAGAATTAAGGAGACAAAGGACAGGATAAGCAGGCTTACCTTAAAAATTGTAGGTATTCCACTTCACTAAAGTAACACAAAAGAAACACTGAATATTTCAAGGCCACTGTCCCCTTTATCAACATTGAGAGTCCCAGTGGCTTCCGTAACCAGTGAAAGACATCCAGAATCTAATGTGACTCTCAATGTTGAGAAAGGGGCCATTGGCCTTGAAATATTCAGTGTTTCCTTTGTGTTTTCTTTTGTGTTACTTAAGTGAAGTGGGATGCCTACAACTTTTAAGGTAAGGCTGCTTGTCCTGTTCTTTGCCTCCTTAATTCTCAGATTATGAAATTGGTTGTGGACAATGCTCCTCACCTCTATTGTGTATGATTTTGGGAACGTTAATAAATTCAAAATTTTATAAATTTGTATTACACGAGGGAAGAAGGAATGAATACTTATTTAAAAACCCTTTGTTATCTTTCAACTACGTGGAACTTTTTTAATATATAAATTCCAACTAGGCCTTCTAGGGGCAGGTATTTTTCATTTGCCACAAATCATGTGACAACTGGTTCTTAACATGTTTAACCAATTAAACAAAGATTCCTTTGAGTTTCCATCCACTGTTTTGGTGTTACCTGAAATGCACAGGTTAATGTTAGTTATTTACCTTTTTAAGTCTATTCCTCTCTTGTTCAGGGTCTGGGTTGGATGCCATGCTTATCCTCATGGATTCTCTAAACATCATCTCCCTAGCTTTCATTTCTGATCTGATTCTTTTTGGTAAAGCTCTTTTTTCAAGGGCTTGACGCTTGAGTAAATCTTCTTCTTTTCGTTGGTTCATTCTCTTCATCTGTTCAAGTTCTTTCTCATGTCGAATGAGCATCTGAAAATTTGTTGTATATTGAAAATATAATTTTTACCTCATATTTTATTGACATATGAAACAATAATGTTTTAAACATTGTATACTGCAGTATAGGATTCAAGGGACCTGCAAACAATTTTTTTAAGATGTGCGGATGGCTTTTTTTTAGTTTTTAGCCTACAAGCTCAAACAAAAAGTCAGAAAATCAAACCCGAGCCAAGCTTTTCCTATCACAATGTAAAATATCACACGGCCAATAAATTCATGCTTTTGCCACAGTTGTAGCATGATGTACTACAATGATAATCTTTCAGCATTTACACAAATATTATCTTTGCCATCCGTTATCACAGCATAACCCTGAACATCCCCTGCAGCCGTGTAGACATTATCGTCTTATCCTATCGCGATAAAATATTGAACATCTCTTGTGAGCGGCTGAGCGCAGCAACATTATCGTCGTCTCCTGCAATCACAAAAGTTAGTGTTGTCTCCCACGACTACAGGAAATGTTCACAAATTCCCCAGTTAATATTAATTATATTACAGGGATCACGGATCATAGTCATAATGACATTGGATGTGAGGAATATAGGCTAGGTTTCAGCGGCAGGGTATTCATAATTAAATTGTTTTATGACGTTAAAATAACTTTAAAATTGCTTAAGTGACAAAAAAATTAGAGGTGTGCGGATATCTGAAAAATCGGGTCGGATTCGGTTCGGTTCGGATATCCGTATCCGAACCGGGCCCAAATTCAATATCCGACACTATCCGTTATATATCCGACTTTTTCGGATAGACAATATATTTTGACGTTTTGGACAGAAAACTAGATCTCCATAGCCACCATTAGTTTCCCAGGACAAAATTACAGCAATACTTTTCCAACGACCTAACAGCAAACGGCAAAGAAGCCGTATGATGCAATACTAATAACTAGTTTAGTCGTTATCGGCTGTTTTGCTTTAAGATTAGATTCGTCTGGAACGAACAGACATAAAGCAGAAAAGAACTACCATGGTCAAATGAAAGTCAACTCGTGCTTGTCTCTCTCCTGATACTAGGGGCGCTGCGTAATAGTTTTTTTTACAGTACTGTTTCAAAGTAGAAAAATCTAGCCTACTACTGTGATGTTACGTAAACAATAGATTTAATGTTTCCCGAAAAAAAGTCAGAATAGAAACAATAGAAAGGCAACACAATAGAAGGGTGGGAGGGGTTGGGCAATGACCTCGAACGGAGCGCGGGTAGTGAGTCAAGAAGGACCGGAGGGGGAAGGGGTGGGTAAGACCTTGAAGCTATATATAGACTTGCACTACTTCCCTAAACCTAAAGGACTGGCCGGCGAGTGGTATTCCAATCACAGGACAAGATACGTTGTTTTTTGGGTATTCATTGCCCGGTTTGACTTTGGATTGTCTTACTGTGTAGAAACTTTGAATATTAAAAAAATAAAGTTAGAACTTACCAAGATTACTTAGCATTGATTGTGTACATATTAAATGATTAAACTATAGGGACCATGGATATATACAAACTTTTGTTGTGATTTAAATTTCAACATCAAAATACAATATTGCACAATCGTGATATTTTAGGTCATTGACCTTTATTATGCATCCGGTATTGCTGTTTCAGAAGAGAAGCACGTTGATAAATTATAAATTGATATTCCCGTAGTTAAAAAGAATTATTTTATAAACCTATAAAACAAAATCATAAAATCTTACATAAAGATAACAATAACGGAAATTGTAAAAAGGGTATAAAGATAACAACGTCGTTATTCTTTCTCTTTGTTCTTCTATTTCTTGGGTTTCCCTTTATCACGCATTCAACAAGTTGCCATGGTTACTAATCACCCATGTCGTTATCAGCTTTTGTGACATAGCGCACAGCTCCCCCGCTGTGTGTTTTACCCCCGTAAAACTTGACGAAAATCGGTTAATTTTTACCTTTTATTTAATTACCAATGAATGTACTACTTTATTGGTATTTGGTACTGTATTAATAATCGGTCAAAATGGCAGATTTTTGTCAAATTTTACACCAAATTTATTGAAATTTAAAGGTGAATATTAATAAAACAATTATTACCAAATATTTGTATTCATTTTAAAGATTGATTTGTGGTATTGGGTTCCCCACTGAGTGCAGCCGAGAGGCACTAATGAGGGTCGGACCTTCTTGGGAGTGAACAATAGACGGCTTATCAGACCCTCCCCTCCCCCGTGGTCTGGAGAAAGCTTGTAAACAAAGTATTGCACAAGCGTGACTTGACATTGGGCTGCTTCAACTATAATTTTGTCAAATGAACTGTGATGTTTCAAAATCAAAAACAATAATTTGGGACCATACTGCTTAACAATAATGGACTGCAATTATTGTTGAACATACAATCCATTTTTAACAAACTAAGATTATACGATTCAAATACAATTATAAAAATTATCTTTGTATTTTACTTGGGGTAATGAAGTTATGTAGGCTAGTGTAATTCTCAGTTTATCAAGGTTCTACTGAATTATGTTTGGCAATGAATAAGTGTAGAATGCAATTTATAAATTCAGGGATACACACCTTTTACACAGTTATAAAGTCTAATTTAATTGCCCAACATCAAATCGTGAGCTAGAGCCCATCTTAGTGCATTAGTGATGTTTTCTAAACTTGGCAAACGCGCAAAATGCCACTTAAGGCCAATAATCCGTTCCAAAAACGTTAGGAAATACATTGTGAAAATAAACTTGAGATCGAACTCCTTGTCTTGTGAGAACCAGGAAACAAGATAAAACATAACCTCAAGTAAACAAGCCCAAACGTTTGACATCAGTCCTGCTGAGCTAAGGTGTTGTGTGAAGATTTCGGCTGCTAGTGTACTTAATTCAAGCAACCAACTTTTGAAAATAAATGTTGTGAATTGTGATTTTCCAGAGAGAGAGAAAACTGTGGACTTGCCTAATTTGAAATTCTATAGTTCAAAATCGTCATTTAAGTTTATTTACACAGCTTTACATTGTTTTATAGGTTAAAAATACATATGCAGCTTAACCGCGCCGAACTATCCGAATCCGAACCTCCCAATATCCGATCCGATCCGAACCGAGCCTCAACTATCCGATCCGAAATGAAATTTCACTATCCGCACACCTCTTAAAAAAATAGATTTATATAAATATATATTTTTTTTTATAGCCTCTATACACTAGCAGAGTACCCGTCCTTCTCACGGGGTTGGCGTATAAGTATAAAATGCTTATTGCAGTTATACTTGGCTTTGTGTTTGCAATGGGAGAGGACACGGTTTAAGAAAATTTGGTTCTTTTAATTTACAGTTTGCTATAATATAGCACATCTACCATAGCCATAATGATCTACCACTGCACCTAAATAAAAAAAAGTAAATGTCTCATCCCCTATAAAAAAGTAATTTCTGGCCATATATGGCCATATCAAAATTCCATATATGTTTTTATAAAGCCATATATGGTTATTTATTGCCATATATGGAAGCAGATATGGCCAGATGTGGTTGTATCCATATATGGTGGTGTCCATATATGGTCATATATGTAGTCTATATATGGAATTATTGGCCATATATGGCCATACATGTTTTCTATATATGAAATGATTGTCCATATATGGCCATACATGTTTTCTATATATGAAATTATTGCCCATATATGGCCATAAATATCCTCCATATATGGAATCATGGTCTATATATGGCCATATATGACTCCCAGGTATGGAATTAAATTACTCATATACTGAATAATAATTTTCCATATATGCTCATGTATAAATGAGTTTTTGACAATAACTGGAATTATTATAAGGAATTGTTGCCACATTTGGATTTTGTAACTGGACTCCCAAACACTTCTTATAATATATATAATATTATAAATCTTAAAGTTTGTGAGTTTGTGTATTTTCTTGTTGCTCTCGCAAGCACAAACTACTGAACTGATTCAGTTGAAATGTGGTACAGTAGGGGGGCAGATAATGTAGGCATTTCTCATTTAAAGTAATTAGTAGTAAAGTAATAAAGTATCCAGATTTGAACCCAGATGACAAAATCCTGTACATACATCTATTGTACAATTTTATCATAACGCAACAAAATCTTAAAACTGTCGTATAATTTTAAAATTGTAAGTGTAGTAGGCCTAAATAAACAGAATATTATATTAATAATTAATTAATTGTACCTTTGCTATCAAACAGCCGCAAATATCAATGTCACGTAGTTAGGCTATATTAATAATAACATTCTTCAAATAACATAAAATGTCTAAGAAAATCTTGTTTTACGAGACCAAATACAGCTTCTCTTATTCGTAATGGGTTTTGTTAAGACATCTGATATGAAGCGGTTGTGGTGTAGTGGTTAAAGGGGTGGACTCCCACGCTGGAGTCCCGGGTTCGAATCCCAGTCGACTGCTTGAAAATTTTGTTTTGAAATTTTCGAATTAAACATTTTTATTATGGTTTTAATGCATAGTTTATACTATTTAATGCGAAAATATGTTTAATTGTAATTTTTTTATTTTTTTATATATTTTTTATTTAAAAATTTCCATATATGGGGGATTCCATATATGATCATATCTGGTTATATTTGGTCCAAAACCAAATATAACCAGATAAAAAAATTTTTATATGGCCATATATACACTTTTTCATAAGGGATTGTATATCACAGCTTTTTGTTGCTTGTTGGTTCAAATTAGCTGTTGTCATAAATAAAAAAATAATAATAGTGCTGCACCCTGTTGGTAAATGAATGCTATTTAATATCATAGAACCAACTTGTGCAGTTGAAACAGCTAACAAAACGGAATGCCTACATTTCTTAAGGTAAGCCTGCTTATCCTATCCTTTCTCTCCCCTATTCTCAGGCAATAAACCCTTTCTCTTTAAACCTATAATATTGGTAAGATTTATAAGATGCCCACTACATCAACAACACTGGCCTTTTAAATTTTCTTCAGCTGATCCATAAGAAAAATAATCTTAAAAGAAGTATGTCTAATTTATGTTGTAATAATAAACTGCACCCCTGTCCATGTGTGTGTATAGAGAGAGGGGGGAACACATTTACACACCTGGTGCCTCTGTAAGAAGAATCCATCTTTCAGTTGTCTTTTGGCAAGCTGCTGCTTCTCATGAATTTGTCTTTCTTCCAACTCCCAAAGAGCTGACTCTCGAGCCCTCATCAACTGAGACAAAACATAACTCAAAGATAAGTCAAGTTACCATTGGCGATATCAAGCTAAAGCAGTCAGCTACCACCTTTAAATGGGAGTGTTGCATGACGTCCAAAACATAATTTTTGAGTTGTTGCACCAAGTCCAATATAAATTATTTGACTGTTGCACGACGTCCAAAAGTACAGTAACTAACTGCCAAAAATATAGTCTTTATACAAGCTTTGGACGTCATGAAATTGGACGTCGTGAAACAGCGCACTATTTAATTGTAAAAAAGTATCATTTGCACCACGTCCAAAGCCTCTGCCAGTTGCACGACGTCCAATAAATATTTGACTGTTGCACGACGTCCAAAGTGCCTGCACACTGTGAACACTGTTTGCCGACCTCAGTGCATATAGTTTGCATTGCAATTTTTGAAGGCAACCAGGGATAGTCTAACAACTGTTTCAAGTTGCCAACTGCTTCATCTTCGATTAATGTTTAAATTATACAATATTCAATGGTTCTAATTTAACTAATTATTGCATTAGCTTCAATTTTTTTATATGTAAAATAAATACTATGTCACCGTAAAATGGAATGATGCAGTATTTCTGTTGTTATGATTGCATAATTGATTTCTACAAAATAGAGCTACGTCATAGAAACAAAATAAATAAATGACTACATTATTCCACAATACAATAAATAAATCACTAGCCCAAAAGTAAATATGGTAGGTTTAATGTGAGTAGTAGTAGAATTCTAAGTACTGCAGTAGAATAGAGATTAATTGTTGTACAATATAAATTGGTAGCAAAAAATGAGGGATTATGGGTTCAACTGGAGATTACTCTATATATAAGATATATTAACCTTTAAACATTACCAATTTAATTTTAAACAGCATGATTTAAATTGGCATTCTGTTAATTACGTTTTTTTAACCCGCCCTTATGACAGTGTGTATCTGGATCCGGATCCGGTACCGACATTTTCTTGGATCCGCCCATCACTGGTCAAAACTGAACATTTTAACAAAAACAAGCAACAGCTGTTACATAATAAATATTAAAATAAAGTATGGACTAAAGGCAACACAGCTGTGGCTAGTTGACGCCACATCAGCTCCCCGCAGAGACTGGAAGTCCAGGAAGATTGAGCTTAGCATTTCGTCCTGACCTAGTTGTGTAGCTTCTGAATGATGCCGGGTTTGGAGGGTTGAGGGATGTGTTTGAAGGTTGTATATTTTGAGACTCTTTGATTGTTGGATGATTACATTTGTCGGGTAATAAATATTAGTTTTTATTTGCAGTGCAGCTACCCGTTATATTACCATTTTAAAATAATTTACAAAATTCTGTTATTTGGTTAAATTTTGTATTTTATCCAAATTTAAAATTAAATGCCACCAGAAAGACGAAGAACTGTGAGTAGCTGGAGGAAATTCGAAGGTGGCCGCTTGCATCAATCTCGCAATCGAACATTTGAAGGTTACAGAGTGGCAGTACCACCGTGGTGATACATCCAACCTCGGACAAATTAACGTTAAATGTTTACATTGTGGTGGCTTACATTTTAAGAAAAAAAAAAAAGACTGGCCGAGACAGTTTAATTCTTACTTTTTGATGCCATAAATGAGAGAACCGTGTGTACAGTACCTCATCTGCGGAATACACCACACTTTCAGGAACCCATTTGCCCAATCTTTTATAACTGTGACAGAAAAATGTGTAGGGACGAGAGCTTCGATGAGTCAAGTGAGATTCTTATGTACATAATAAGGCATAAAAGAAGTGACTTTCCTCGCTACCAAAGGTTCTCCCTGTATAGATGATGCAGCTATTTAAAGCTGAAAACAGGACACCACCTGGCCAAATAAATCTTAGCTCCTTTTTTCAAAAACTAATGTTAAAAGCGAAACCGTTGTAGATCCGTCGTTAGATCCACTTGCTAACCCTATAATGTTCCCAACCGGAGACTTTGGTTGGGGCTCCTAATTTAAACAAGACAAAAACAGATCCTATCGTAGAAATAATTTAACAATGCTATAGTACGTGTCGTACTGGTTGGCGTCAAGAGAGGAATTTAGCTTGCTACATTAGGTCTGAAAAATTCACTTAAACGTGTGTTGTTGACATCTACGTTCTCATAGAGGGCACCCGCCTATACAGTACATAAGAAATAACCAAAGCAGTATAAGAGGGGATCTACTTAAATATTGTAGGTTACTTTTATAATTTTTTACAACATTATATTTTTCATATTTCTATAATCAGGCATAGACTTTAGAATGACTCTTTGAGGCCTTGCTGTTTATGTTTTTGTTGTTTTTTTTGTTTTTTTTTTTGTAACTATTTGCAGTTTTGCTCGATTTAGAGCAACGGGTTATCTAGTAAATGATTAGTCTTGGTTCAAGTTGAGATTAAATCAATATCAGTAAGATAGTGTACCTCAAATACAGTGGTAGTTTGCAAATGCCCTGTAATACTTTTACTGTATTCTTTGATCAATGAATTTCACCTGAGTAATTTTCCTGTGCTGTATTTGGATCGTATATTAGTTAGCTAATAAGCATGTTATGATTCTTTGCTTTATACATCCACGTTGTTATCTTGTAACCATCATAGCAACTCATAAGGTTAATGCTACAAAAATAATGTTCGTTTTAAATTGTACATACATTATCAAATTGAAATGTATTTGTGTAATAACATGAACACTGCTTGTTGAAACAACCATAGAAGGTTTGGATTCAATATGTTCAGCCGTTATTGAGTTAATTTAATAAGGCTTGACGACTTCATTACTAGGCACGCAATATACACTCCTTCTAGTATTGCGGGTCTGTAGTATTCACCGTATGTAGGAGCTTGGACGTCGTGCAACAGCGCTAAGCTATATTGGACGTCGTGCAACTGGCAGGTTTTTTTTTTTTTTTTAGGGTGAGGAGGGAAAATGTTTTTACGCACACAGGTATCCAGCCTGTAGTGTGAGACTCCTGAATTTATCAGACTACTCACTAAAAAACCCCCTCTGCTATGTTGGACACAGACCTGGAATTGTTTGTCACATTACTTCAAGTCAGGCCAACATGTGACCTAAGCCCACGGGGCTCGCACCGTTTCTGGCACTATTTTTTTTTTTTTTTTTTTTTTTTTTACCTACACCGCATCCCGGTTGAGGTTGAGCTTCTTGGCGCGGAGAACACCCTGGATGTAAAGTGACACACAGGTCCAATTGTCCTCACCCTCCATCATCATCGGTATGATCGTGTCCACCGACAGCAGTCCTACGAACTGTTGAGCCTCTAGGCGGGGCCTTTCCCAATGTTCGCAGTGGAAGAAAGTGCGTTCCACGTCATCGGGAATGCCTGGGCAGTATATGCAATCGGGTGACACAGCTTTGCCCATCCTGAACAAGTACGACCAGAAAAAGCCGTGACCCGTCAGAAATTGGATGAGGTAGAAGTTCACTTCTCCGCACCGCCGATTAACCCAAAGTTGGACCTGTTGTATCAGTCGCCTGATCCAGAGCCCCCTTGTCTCCTGTTCCCAGCTCTCCTACCAAAGCTGGAAGGTCCGGGTGCGTTCCTCAATTCTTGCCTGGTCTTCCCCACGGCGCTGATAAATTGCCTTCCTCTCCGCCGCCAAAAGTTTGATGAGGATGACTCTAGCAACCACCAGGACGGCGGGTTCGGACACTGTTCGATAGGCAGATGCTACCCTTAGTGCTGCCTGACGCTGCACTCGGGCGAGCCGCATCCTATATATCTCCTTATTGAGAGTGTCTGCCCAGACTTCCACACCGTATAGGAGCACAGACTGGACCGCAGACATCAACAGCCTTCTGCGGCTCAACCGCGGACCTCCGACATTGGCCATCCGACTAAGGGAAGAAACCATTTTAGCGGCCTTGTCCGCCGTACGGGTGATATGGTCTCGCCAGCTGAACTTGCTGTCCACCATAACCCCAAGGTACTTTGCGGCACGAGTGGTTTGGACTTTAACGTTCCCCACCATCAAAGGTGTCAATCCTCTTTTTAGTCAGAATCACAATCTCAGTTTTGCTCAGAGCGAGCGAGAGACTATGTTCTGCCATCCATGCGTTAATGGTGTGCATGACTCGATTTAGTTTCAGCTGGGCAAGCTCAATGCTACGTGCAACTGGCAGTGGCTTTGAACGTCGTGCAAATGATACTTTTTTTAAATTATATAGTGCGCTGTTTCACGACGTCCAAAGCTTGTAGAAAGACTATATTTTTTGCAGTTACTTGAACATGAAACATTTAAAATGTACTTTTATATAAGGATACTTTTGGTTTATTTTAATTTACTAATAAAGAAAATTAACTCATTTTTATAATATTATTTAATTAAAAATATTACACCTTCATCAATTATAGCCTAACATAATTATAAACTAATCATGGACGTTTAGAAATTACAACACTTACTTGTTGCTTTTGCTGTAAAAATTGTCTTTCCATCAATGCAATTTTTTCTCTGTGAGAGTCACTCAAACGACGAAGAGAAGTTTCATGGTTTTCATTGAGCTTTTCAAGGAATAGTTTTTCCTAAAAATTAAGAAAAATAAGCACGTAAAGCAACATACTAAATAATTTATAGAAACATAATAAATTGATCTCTTGGCTCAATCAACACATTGCCATATAATATATTCAAGAAATGTGTTCAAATATTTTTTAAATTGATAGAATAATCTAATAATTTGATTATTTATGATGACTTAGTTACTGATGCTCAAATTAAAACATATTAAAAATACATTCTTACCCTCTCCTCATGTTCTACTTCAAGTTTTTCTTTACGGCCACGAAAGACGCTTTTTCTCTTATCCTTGGGCATGAGGTCAATCTCTTGACGGAGCAGTCGCAGTTCGGTCTTGAGACTTTCTCGGAACTCCTTGAGTTCTCGTTCCTGCTCAGCTCGGATCCTCTTGGAGGCTGTTCTTAGGTCTGCTTCTTGTTGCTGCTCTGCCTTTTCTACCTAAAATCATTAAGTCACGAGTCATTTAATAAAAAAAATTATGATTAAGTTTAGTTACACTATTTTCCTTTTTATTTGGTTGGATTAAAAATATTTAATGTTGAATAGGATGTTGATAGTAGCCAAATTGTATCAGTAATTGAAAAATACAATTCACCTAAATGCAACATTTACAATGACTTTCACAAAACATATTAATTGCAGTAACATTTTGAACTTAAGAGAAATCAGTCACGGTTTGATTTTCCACAATATTCTCAATATTTTTCACAATGTTTTCAATCAATATTTTGAGGCGTTTCCTCATGGATATTGAAGGTATGTATGTGTGTTAAGTGGTGTATTTACCTGTTGCCGTTGTTGTCTACTTAGGGCCTCCAGGTCAGCCTCATAGGTCTTGAGTAGCGTTACACGCTCCTGCTCAAACCTCTTGTCCTGCACAACAGTCAAACTATCAATCTAACAACTGGTGTACTTGGTATGTGGTTCTATTTTAGTTCGCTTATAATAATATGTACTGTTAGTTAATTTATTGACATATTAGCCTATGTCATCTTTATCCAAATACATCATCTGCGTCACATATGCTGAAAGCTGCAGTTGTTCAGTTAAAATAATTGCAATATAAAAATGGTTTATTTTACCTTTTTGCGTCGAACGATCCGTGTGTAGTTAGTACAACTACAGCTGTTTCATACCACTAGGGTACATCATCAGGTTGTTGGCAGAACGTTAGATAAAACAGCATTCATTCATAGATGAACTTGTCGAAATAAATATGTCTATATACACATAATACACGAAAAACATTTAAAAAACACGAATTTACGAACTTGGCCAAGTAACGAACACACGAGACAGGCGCCGATGGATGTTGCGTCATGACTGCTGTCGTGTGTCCAAGCATCAGCTGTTACCCCTCCCCCCCAACTCCTTTATCAGGACCAGTTTTGTTTTGGTTTAAATGAATGGCAGTATTGTAGATGATATTAGATCTGAATGAAATTTGTTCGTTCAATATATGGTCAGGGTGTTCTTTGGATGCCTTGTATATTTCGAACTCCTCTATTGTGTCCATGTATCTGCCTTTAGTACATAAATGCATAATTTCTAGATTACTATGTATGTCCGTGTAGTTGTGGTTTGCGTTAATTATGTGGTTGGCGAATGCTGATTTCGAGTTCTTTTTGGGTAGGTGTTCTTTAAACCTAGTAGCGAAAGAGCGAGCAGTTTGGCCGATGTAAAAGCTCGGGCAATCGTTACATGTCATTTTGTAAATACCTGTGCTGTTTACTTTATCGGAATGTGTTTCATTTTTTTCTTTAAGCACAGTAGATAATTTGTTAGATGTTTTGTATGCAACGTGTACATCGTTCTTTGCCATTTCTTTTCTCAAGGTGTTATTGAGTACTACTCCAAATTCAGCACATACATACTTTTTGTTTCTGGGTTCTAGAATCTCTTTTGTTTTATTTTTCTGTTTTCTGATAAGTTTATCAATGAGAGAGCTTTCATATCCATTGGCAACGGCAATGTGCTTCAAAATGTTTATTTCATTGTTGTAGTTTTCTGTGGTAAGGGGTATGGATAATAGTCTGTGAACAAAACTATTGTAAGCAGCTGTCTTGTGGTTGAAAGGATGGTGTGATGACGAATGGATGGTCTGGTCAGTTGTTGTTGGTTTTCTGTAGATTTTGAATTCCATGATGTGATCAGTTCTTGTTATTGTTACGTCTAAGAAATTAATTGATTTGTTAGCTTCGGTTTCGAGGGTGAATTTTAGTTTATGGTGGACATTGTTCAAATAATTTCCAAGTATCTTTATCTGCCTTTCATTACCATTGAATAAGATTAATGTGTTGTCCACATATCGGCTGTAGTGAACTATTTTATCTTTTTGTTTGTTGGAATCTGACCATAAAAATTTATTTTCTATATTGTTTAGAAACAATTCTGAAAGGACGCTTGAAAGTGGAGAGCCCATAGCTAAACCTTCGTTTTGTGTGTAGTATTTATTTTCAAACGTGAAATAGTTTTGTTTGAGGACTATTTTAGTGAGATTAACTAACTCATTTTAGCCTCGGTTGATAAGGAGGAGTTTTTATCTAGATTAGATTCAAGTATGTCGATGGTTTCATCAATGGGTACGTTTGTGAATAAATTCACAACGTCAAATGAGGCTAAAGTATAAGAACCCTTTAGTTTAATTTTACAGAGTTGGTTTACTACATCAACTGTGTTCTTAACACTATGGTCGTTATCTAAGGCGGTCTCTTTCCTAATTATTTTGTCAAGTTTTTGAGCAATTTTATAGGCTGGTGAGGGTCTGAAATTTACTAGTGGTCTGATGGGCGTGTCAGGTTTGTGGATCTTCGGTAGTCCTCTAAGAATGGGAGCCTGGGGTTTAGTAACTTTGCATTGCTTTATTTCATCTTTAGACAAAAGATTTGTTGACGAGGATATCAATTTATTTATTTCTTTGGAGTAGGTAGCAGTAGGGTCACAGTTTAATGTGTCAATATTATTGGCTGTGATGAATTCACAAACTTTGTTTACGTATTCAGTTTTACTGAGGATAACAATGCAGTTTCCCTTATCAGCTTTTGTGATAACGGCATTGTTTTGTTCTAACTTGTCCCTAATGTTGGCAGCGACTTGTTTTAAAGGTTTATATTTTGTCAAGTATGATTTTCTAATGTTTGGATTTAAGACAGCTTTTTTCATTTTGTTTGTGATCATTACTCTTGCCGTATCACGTGCGTCATTGTTGTTTAAATATTTTACAGCTGTTTCTGCATTTAGTAGTTCTGATATCAAGCTATTTTTCTTATCATTGGGAAAATTATAATTTAATCCTTTGTTCAAAAGATTGGTTTCTTGTTCAGAGAACTCTATGTTCGTTTTATTTATAAATCTTGGATGAAATACGTGACTACAATTTACTGTATCTTTATTCAACTGTGATTTTACTAGTGAATCAATCTTTTTGGTTTGGGATTTCTTTTTTAGAAAAATTTTTCTATTGATTTGAGAATCCAATTCTGATAACACATTCTTGGTTTGTGAAGGGTGAAGGCTGCTTAAAAGTTCTAAACATGCATTTTTTGGCATGCAACGACTTGATTTCATGTTTAATCCAAGTAGTTTCAGCAACTTTTTTGGCTTTTTTAGCAAGTTTGGAGACGTTGTTAATTTTAACTGATACATATTTAGGGACTAATCCATATTCAATGCATTTTTTATTAAATTTTATGTTTTCTATGGTTTTGAAAAGTTTTATCTTAACGTTCTTGTATTTGTAGGCTAATTGAACTTGACAAGTTTCCAATTTCATGATGGGTTAGCCTCTGGATCGTAAATTGCAATATAAAAATGGTTTATTTTACCTTTTTACGTCGAACGATCCGTGTGTAGTTAGTACAACTACAGCTGTTTCATACCACTAGGGTACATCATCAGGTTGTTGGCAGAACGTTAGATAAAACAGCATTCATTCATAGATGAACTTGTCGAAATAAATATGTCTATATACACATAATATACACCTGCACTGCTCTTCTCAATATGACTGATGAGCTTCTTCAGGCCAGGGACCAAGGGTTGCACAGCTTTATGGCGTCACTTGATTATTCAAATGCTTTCAACTCTGTTCATCACGACATGCTCATATCAAAGCTCAGGTTTCTAAAATTCCATGAGTGTACACTCAAATGGTTTTCCTCATATCTTTGTAACCGATCCCAGGTGACTAAGGTGAATGGTAGGTGCTCCGAGTTGATTCAAAGAGAAGTAGGGGTCCCTCAGGGGACTTGTCTGGGTCCAATACTTTTCATATTGTACACCCATGACCTCGATAGCGTTCTGAAATCTTCCACTTTACATTCCTACGCTGATGATTGTCAACTAGTTCTTTCCCACGCCCCTTTTGATTTTCATGAAGCAGTCAATCTCATCAACACTGACTTGCTAAGGGTAAAGCAATGGTCTGACGATCACGGTCTAAAATTGAATCCTGAAAAGTGTACTGTGCTTCATTTCTGGTCTTCTGGTTTGCAGCCTAAAAATAGTCTTATTGGAAAGGTAGAGCTGGACGGTCAAATTCTTGTGGTGTCTGATTCTGTTAAGGTGTTAGGTATCAGAATTGATTCTCAACTCAATTTTCGCTCACATGTTAGTTACATTTGTCAGAGAGTCTCAAATAGGTTGAGAATTTTACACCGTTTGAGAGGGATACTATCTGAAAATGCTAAGCTAGAATTGGTCAAATCAACAGTCTTCCCTATTATTCACTATGCACTTCCATCGTTTGGTGAATGTCTTACTCTTGACTGTAGAGTTCTTCTTACGAGGTTGCAAAACCGAGCCCTGAGGTTTGTCTTCAATCTGAGGAAGTTTGATCATATATCTGCCTATCGCAAACAGGCTAAGGTACTCTCTTTGGAAAAAAAATGTTTTCTACAAACTGTTTTAATTGTTCACAAGACACTGTCTTCTAATTTGCCTCCCTATTTGAAAAGGAAACTTATGCCTCGAACATCAGTTAGGGAACGCTGTACTAGGCAGGACGGCTTGCTTGAAATGCCGAGAGTGCGGCGCGAGATAGGTAAAAAGGGGTTCTCATACTTTGGACCCCAGGCATACAACACCCTCCCAAGAAACATGAAAATCATGTCATGTAATTCATTTAACACGTTCGCTGCGGGCCATCAAACAGCAGGCGTAGCCCCAGTGCGGCGCAGCCCGCAGCGTCGAACAAACCCGATTGCCGGGTGATTGGCTCTCATATTTCGGTATGACGAATAGCAAATAACGTGCGGTGATGTCCTGTTTTATAACAAGAGTCGACGTAGTTCGCTAAACACTCACATATAGCAGCACTGCTTGGAACGTAGCCGGTCCCATCGTATTAACAATTGGAGGGAGAAAGACGGGACAAAAAGTTGATTTTTAAGTTTGCCAGACGGGGATTTTATGGGGAAATTTTACTACCAACCTACAACACAACAAAAAGCAAGTCACCCACTACACGCTAACGTGGAAACATTCTGCAAAGGGTCGTAAACAAACGCACGTGGCGCGCTCGCCCACCCCCATCCCGCCCCCCCTACTGATAACGCGACAAAAATAGAAACCAAGGTCACCACGGTCATTCAACTGTGTCAACGCAGGTGGCTACAAAGTATTAGTTTGAAATATCAAACGGCTGAGCCACAGGAAAATATTGAAGTTCAGGAGGACCCAAGTATCCATATGGATACCGCCGCCTCTACGTGATGGACTCCAGGTATCCATATGGATACCGCCGCACCCAATGTGTTAAGGCCAATCTAAAGCTAGTTTAGTTCCACTGTTTGTAATTATTGTGTACTTGTAAACTTTTTGTGACTTTGAGTTGTCTTGAAAACCAGTGTATCTGAAGACCGCTTTAAATAAAGGCATTTTATTATTATTATTATTATTATTATTATTATTATTATTATTATAATACACGAAGAACATTTAAAAAACACGAATTTACGAACTTGGCCAAGTAACGAACACACGAGACAAAATAATTAGGAAAGAGACCGCCTTAGATAACGACCATAGTGTTAAGAACACAGTTGATGTAGTAAACCAACTCTGTAAAATTAAACTAAAGGGTTCTTATACTTTAGCCTCATTTGACGTTGTGAATTTATTCACAAACGTACCCATTGATGAAACCATCGACATACTTGAATCTAATCTAGATAAAAACTCCTCCTTATCAACCGAGGCTAAAAATGAGTTAGTTAATCTCACTAAAATAGTCCTCAAACAAAACTATTTCACGTTTGAAAATAAATACTACACACAAAACGAAGGTTTAGCTATGGGCTCTCCACTTTCAAGCGTCCTTTCAGAATTGTTTCTAAACAATATAGAAAATAAATTTTTATGGTCAGATTCCAACAAACAAAAAGATAAAATAGTTCACTACAGCCGATATGTGGACGACACATTAATCTTTTTCAATGGTAATGAAAGGCAGATAAAGATACTTGGAAATTATTTGAACAATGTCCACCATAAACTAAAATTCACCCTCGAAACCGAAGCTAACAAATCAATTAATTTCTTAGACGTAACAATAACAAGAACTGATCACATCATGGAATTCAAAATCTACAGAAAACCAACAACAACTGACCAGACCATCCATTCGTCATCACACCATCCTTTCAACCACAAGACAGCTGCTTACAATAGTTTTGTTCACAGACTATTATCCATACCCCTTACCACAGAAAACTACAACAATGAAATAAACATTTTGAAGCACATTGCCGTTGCCAATGGATATGAAAGCTCTCTCATTGATAAACTTATCAGAAAACAGAAAAATAAAACAAAAGAGATTCTAGAACCCAGAAACAAAAAGTATGTATGTGCTGAATTTGGAGTAGTACTCAATAACACCTTGAGAAAAGAAATGGCAAAGAACGATGTACACGTTGCATACAAAACATCTAACAAATTATCTACTATGCTTAAAGAAAAAAATAAAACACATTCCGATAAAGTAAACAGCACAGGTATTTACAAAATGTCATGTAACGATTGCCCGAGCTTTTACATCGGCCAAACTGCTCGCTCTTTCGCTACTAGGTTTAAAGAACACCTACCCAAAAAGAACTCGAAATCAGCATTCGCCAACCACATAATTAACGCAAACCACAACTACACGGACATACATAGTAATCTAGAAATTATGCATTTATGTACTAAAGGCAGATACATGGACACAATAGAGGAGTTCGAAATATACAAGGCATCCAAAGAACACCCTGACCATTGAACGAACAAATTTCATTCAGATCTAATATCATCTACAATACTGCCATTCATTTAAACCAAAACAAAACTGGTCCTGATAAAGGAGTTGGGGGGGAGGGGTAACAGCTGATGCTTGGACACACGACAGCAGTCATGACGCAACATCCATCGGCGCCTGTCTCGTGTGTTCGTTACTTGGCCAAGTTCGTAAATTCGTGTTTTTTAAATGTTTTTCGTGTATTATGTGTATATAGACATATTTATTTCGACAAGTTCATCTATGAATGAATGCTGTTTTATCTAACGTTCTGCCAACAACCTGATGATGTACCCTAGTGGTATGAAACAGCTGTAGTTGTACTAACTACACACGGATCGTTCGACGCAAAAAGGTAAAATAAACCATTTTTATATTGCAATTTACGATCTAGAGGCTAACCCATCATAAAATAATTGTATTACAGTATACCAAACACAAATCTAAAATGTTGGTGTCAGCTGATAGTAAAAAAATAATAAAACTAAAACCTAAAATTACAACCATGGTACGTCCTTCCTTCCTCTCAAAATCATCATTCCTTAAAAAGATGAATTATGAAAATACCTCAAGAGGTTGATTCCGAATCTTTGAGTAAAAACAACCTTATTTGGCCATTTTAAACCTTGCAAAAAAAATTCTTTGCGCCAAAAAATGTCAGTACCTGTTGCTCCTTAGCTATATGCGCTTTCATGGAAAGATCTTGGAATTGTTTTTGTTCCTGCTTCTGAAGCATCTTCAGTTCTCTAAGTTCTTGCTTCCTGAAAACATATAAAATTTAGTTAAAAACATTATGGAAACAAAGTGATATACAACAGGGTGTCCACCAGGCCAACCAGAAAAAATTCATTTGAGTAAAAAAAATCCATGGTCGTACTTTTCATACTAAAATTTCCAACGTGTTTTGCGCCAACTCCCGCAATGCTGTTTTAGCGCTCTAACACAGCTCGGAAAGAGCATTCTCAGTTAAGGGGGAAAAAAATTAAATTGCTGTAATATTGCCTGACACAAGTATTCAATTTTTATATATTACTGATTAAATAATCCAAAAATTAAAAACTAATCCTTAAACCTGCAATTTATTAATAACTTCCTAAAAATAGTGATATGTCGATAACAAAATTTATCGAATCTCTGTACAGACACCTAAAAAATAGATTCTTAATACTGATAATTTCTATTTTACCAAATTTTCTTAAGGATTACTACACCAACCCCTAAAATTCACGCATAATTCCCGGTTTTCCCGGTCGGTGGACACCCTGTACAACACAACAAAACTGAGATCTAACTCAGGCACTGAGAGATTTCTTAGTTGTGTAGTTGTGGTGACCACAGAAACAATTTATGGTAAAACACCATTGGACTTTATTCTCTTAGTCTCATAATCCTGGAATGGCACAATAAAAAAAATTCATCCAACTTTAGACAATTCTAAACAGCAGTGACAATACAACCTATCTACAAATCTGTGAGTACAGCAAACAGTTAAACAGTATAAAAGAGCAAAATAATGAAAAAGAATACTATTTCTTTAGATTATAGGCTGCAGGTAAAACTATTAATCTACTAAGACTGACTCAAATCATAGGTAAAAAGATTTGTGAATTTTTGACATTTTTTAATTTCCTCTTTCTCTTATAGAATAGCTTACACACCAAATCACAATTAGGACTGCAAATAGAAAGGACTATCAGTATTTATAAAAACAAAATGCATAATAACCTGAAAATTTGGTCATCATATCCTCTTCCACTCTCTTCATCAGCATATATGACTTTGCTAGTAGTTGTGGTAACCACAACACCATCAATTTCAAACTTTCTTGTCCTCTTTCTGGTTTTCTTCTTGAGGTTGTGAAGTTCCAATTCTTCTTTAGAACGGCTATGTCTGACCCCTTCTTGCTGCAGACAAAAAATGAATTACCTCCAACTAGTGATGTGTCCTTACCAAAACTTATCGATTCTTGATACTGATACCTAAAAAATCAATTCTCGATACTGATACCACTTTTTAGTTTTACCAAATTTTTTGAATGGATTGATCTACACCAACCCCTATCTTTATGTCCTTCCATAAAGTATTTCTCAGGTAATAGAGTGTTTCAAGTGAAGGAAAACACATCATCTCCCTCGGTCACAGCAAAATCCTGAACACCCCCCTAAACATTATCATCGTCCCCCACAATGTCGGCAAAATCATGAACATCTCTCAAGGTTATGTGTACATTAACATTGTTTTCTGCGATCGCGGAAAAATTGTAATCATCTCCCGCAATCGTGTAGACATTATCATTGTGCGACGGGCGCCAAAATTATTATCGTTTCCCACATTCTTGCAGACATCATCATCGTCTTCCCCAGTTGCAGCAAAAATTCATTCATAATCTCCCGTGGCCATCATGACATCATTATACCGTGATCGTGTAAAAAACCGTGATCATTTCTCCTATTCATGAAGACATCTTTAATGTCTCTGGTAACAGCAATATCCTGAATGTTCCCCGCAGTAACAAAAACATCACCACAGTCTTCCGCGATAGTGGCAAAATTCTGATCCCGCACCCATGTAGACATCATCATCGTCCCTCACAGTCACGGAAACATCATGGTCGTCTTTCCCCATCGCGTCAAAATCATGAACATCTCACACGGCTGTGTAGGTATTATCTCTGTCTTCCGCGATCGTAGCAAAATTCTGGCCCTCCCACGCGGCTGTGAAGCATAATCATCTCCCCCGGTCAATAAAAAGTCATAGTTTTCTTCCTCGATCGGGACAAAATTATGAAAATCTTCTGTGGCAGTGTAGATATCATCATCTTTCCCACGGTAACCTCAATCGTCGTCTTGCGCGATCGCCGCAATAGCGTTAATTTTCCAATTGCGTTAATTTATAGCGTTAATTATCATGATCTTTCCAGACGTGTCGGGATATCAGTTTCAGAATAGACTTTTGACGATCGATTCTCGATACCAAAACCAACGTGTATGTATCGGTAGTGTCAAGAATCGACACTTCTCTAGCTCCAACCAACGTAATACATAATATACATTAAACAGTGGAAGAAGCTCATCTCATAAATAGTTCTCTTTGTGTCTACCATTTTGTAGGATTTAGGCCACCATGACTAAATACATAAATACAGTTTTTTTCAAAATAAATATGCTCTGTTAGGTAAAAAAAAAATTGTTCTTTATTTATCTTCAGTCAAATGATTTAATATGGTGATTTTATCTTAACTGTTGGTGAATTTTAATATTTATCAATCGGTAATGTTTGTAAATTAGAACCTTGATTATCCGAGGGTCTGCAGTTAGTTAGTTCTTGCCTTGTAAATATTTTATTTAAAATTTATTTTTTTGTATTTACGTGTGTTATTGTGTTCAAAATTGTGTTCTACTCATCATGATTCCTGTGAAATACAACATTCAGGTATGTTTTTATTGCAATACAATTAATTATGTTAATTTGGTTTAGTATTGTTTTGCATTTTGTTCATTTTATAGGTTATTGTGGATTAACCGTGATTTTACGTATCCTGGAAATCTAGCCCTACTTTACAATTACCAATCACTAATTTCATACCCTGTTGTACTCTGTGTTTCGTCGCAGCACCACGTCCTGTTCAGGTCGGGTGTTCTCCTTGTTGCTGTCCTGACTGGCAGTGGTAGCAACACTCTCAGCGTCTGACCTGTCCAATGTACGAGTGCTGGCTAGAGATGGTGGAGTGTGCAATGACCCAGTCTCACTGTGTGAACTCTCACCTCCTCCTGCACCTCGCTCCTCCACCTCCTGTACAAATACCATGCTATATAGCTCATGTGCTTAAAATGTTTTTTGGCACACTTTTAAATCGCCAGGTTAAACCTCTTCATTTCAAGGTTATTTATCAATATTTTAGGCCTATAAAAATACATTGGGTGGTATCTATTCCCTTAACAAATAGAGTTATTATTTCAAAGAAAATTTAAGTCATGATTTGAAATTCAAAATTCATAAATCTTTGAAATTAAATCTCTTAAATCGTTCTAGATTATGGTGTTGTCTATATGAACACTAGACTTGGAACAAGCTGTTACATATTATTTCTGGCTTGTATTTGATTGGCTGTATCAGAATAAAGATATTTACTAGAGTTGCCAAAACGTATTCATTATTGAAATCATTAAAGGGACACCGACCTTCTTTTGGATATTGGTAGACTTGTTGACCACGATAAATACTTCTTCGCTGTCTGCGGATGGTATGGATGGTTGTCCATTGACCTTGGCGTGAGAGTGAAGATTGCTGTCTGCTTCTGTACACTCAACTACTATGGAGGTGCTGGCCCCTCCCCCAACAATCATTAACGAGTCTTCATCCATGCCTAAAAAGTCGCGTATTAATTTTATTATGCCAGGGTGATGAGTCAATTCCTTTCACTTTTGATTGTATTATTAACATATGACCTATCAGAAAAGACATATAACCTCAACATTATCTATTACTTTTATTTTGTTGTAACCATGACCAAGATACTAAAATGTCTCACTTTTGGGTTTCAAGATTTTAGATTTGATTTTTGAAGTTTCAATTTTAGTTTTCAGATCTAAAATTTCTGGAATTGACCATCACTAATGTAGACATTGTAACAACAAATTCAAACTATTGGTTAGCCACTAATGTTAGAGTATTAATTGTTTGCCTATTACTGGATAGGCCTATACAAACTATTGGTTATTGTGGCTGAACTAACCGTCTACAGAGTTCCACATAGAGTCAGGTGTGGCGCGTGAGTCACTCTCATCTCCTACTTTCACCACAGACACATGGCTCATGTCAGGTCCATCCTCCTCATCTCCAAAGTCCATACTGCTGGAGTTGATCACTATCACCTCCTCTTCTGAGTTAGGTGATGAGTCGTCCACCTAAACTCAACAGTAAGATAGATAAATAATAACTCAGATGGCGATATAATGCTTTCCTGGTTATAAAAAGCAAACGTAACTTTAACAGTTTTTGATAACTGCATAAAATATCAAACTAGTTTTTAGGAGTAAAGGAATATTTCCGTAGAAAGTTCCTGCATGGATAAAGTTATAACTCAACTTGGTTATGATACACAAAAATCTATCCTATTCATTCATAGTTACTTATTGTCATTTTATAAACTTTTTGTCTCAATTCATATATTTGGGGTCTGCAGGTCCCTGATATTTCCTGGTCTGGTCAGGCCAACAGTAAATCTGAAGGATCAATTTGGGCCAGGAATAAATTTCAGGCCAAACTCAGGTTGGCCTGAGCCGAGCCAAGCTTTTATTATTGCAATCGCAGAAGCGTCGTCTGCAAAGATGTGCAATCCAAATTGACAATTTCACCGCCATTGCATGTAATTACACCTCTCGTCTATATGGACCAGCTGTAGTCAATTTTTTGTTAAAAAAGAACGTAGTTGTGTGAGCCAGTCACAGAATGTGCTAGTGACTAAAACTCTATTTTCTACCTTTTTTTTGTTGCTGGCCAAGTAGATGAGTCATAATAACCCTTATTGTTGCTATAGCCCACAATAAGTCATTCCATTAGTTTGAATTAGTAAATAAGATTGTGAATTCGACATAAATCAGTAATTTAGATCAGCACAATCTGTTGGTGGCTCACATCAACTACGACGATTTTGATTAAAAAACTGGCTACAAATTTAACATGAGGTTGGAATGTCTAGGTAATATTCAGAGTTTTGCCACCATCATGAGACATTGATGATGTCGCTGCCACCTCGGAAGACCTTCATGATTTCACTGTGACTGGGGAAGATGTTCACTATTTTGTCGTAACCGCAGAAGATTGTCTTGATTTTGCCATGACCGCAGAAGAAGTTCTACTTCTCACTGTTAGCTTAGAAGATATTCACAATTTTGTTACGACTGCAGAAGACATTCACAATTTTACTGTTACTGTTAAAGATGTTGAGTAATTAATAGCCCAGACCCCTGAAGATGTTCTTGAATTTACCGTGCCAATAGAAGACCTTCATGATTTTGTCGTGACCGCATAAGATGTATACAATTTTGCTAAGATATGTCCACAATTCTGCCGTGACTGCAGAAACATTCACGATTTAAATTTATTCAGACTGCTGAAGATGCTTTTGAATTTACTGCAATCGCGGAAGACATTCAAAATTTTGCCAAGATGTTTCATCTTGCTATGACCATGGAAGATGTTTTCAATTTCACTGTGGTATGGAAGTGGTAGTTTTAGTATTAAAATTAGTATTTTAATAAATCAATACTTTCCAAAGCAACCAACAATTTCGGTCTGCTTCTACTTCTAGCTTAGAAGATATTCACAATTTTGTTACGACTGCAGAAGACATTCACAATTTTACTGTTACTGTTAAAGATGTTGAGTAATTAATAGCCCAGACCCCTGAAGATGTTCTTGAATTTACCGTGCCAATAGAAGACCTTCATGATTTTGTCGTGACCGCATAAGATGTATACAATTTTGCTAAGATATGTCCACAATTCTGCCGTGACTGCAGAAACATTCACGATTTAAATTTATTCAGACTGCTGAAGATGCTTTTGAATTTACTGCAATCGCGGAAGACATTCAAAATTTTGCCAAGATGTTTCATCTTGCTATGACCATGGAAGATGTTTTCAATTTCACTGTGGTATGGAAGTGGTAGTTTTAGTATTAAAATTAGTATTTTAATAAATCAATACTTTCCAAAGCAACCAACAATTTCGGTCTGAGACCCTAAGAGGCATAATCCCGACCTGACCAAACCGGAAGGAAAAATGTGTCTGGCCTGCAGACCACTATAATTTACCAAACCTTAACCCTATAGACAATGTACCTGTGTCTTGTTTGTTTCGTTGGCCACAATGACGACCTGTGGTGGTGGTGGGGATGGCTGATGGAGGTGCAGTACAGGCGGGTGGGTGGTAGTTACAACCGTTACATTAGTCTCTAGCTCTGAGGGTTTACGTGGAGAGTCCACTACCACGGTCGTACCCTGGACTACATCCTCCGCTGAAACAACAATCACAAGAGTTACTAGTAATGTAGCATGAATTTTACATAGAAACTCATATGTGATTCTAGTTTAGTTTCTTTAATCAAGGAAACAGCTTAGAAATGTTGTTGTAGCACATAGTTAGGAAAATATCATTATGCACACCATTCAGCACAACACTTTGTCACAAACTAACTTCATCTCAAAGTAGGCTGTAGTTACTGGTGTAGGCCTATTGCACAAGCAAGCTTTACTGCTCACCAGCCACCAAAGTGCTTTATCTATTTTTAGAAAAACAATAGAAATTTTACCTGTGGTTCGAGGTTTGAGAGCACTGATGGCTGCATCAGACAGAGGAGGCGGTGCGGGCCGTCGTCTGTTTCTATTCGATGCAGAGGAGCTACGAGTACGAGTTGGTTCTGGTCTAGGATCTTCTCCAGAGCCATTGATGGCAGGCATCATAGACACAGGTCTAGCAGTGCGGTCTCTGCCATCTCTGCGCCTCACCTCCTCCTGCTGCTGTGGCTGGGACAATGGTTGTGGGGGCGGGGATGGTGTTTTAGCCAACACTTGTGGTTGTGGTGGCGGGGGTGGTGACTGAGGCAACACTTGTGGTTGTGTTGTTGGTGACTGAGGCAACGGTTGCTGTTGTGGTGGCGGGGGTGTTGTCTGAGGCAAAGGTTGTGGTTGTGTGGGTGGTTGCGGTGACTCAGGCAATGGTTGTGGTTGTGGTGGCAGTTGGGGTGACTGAGGCAACGGTTGTATTTGAGGGGGTGGTGGCGCTGGACCCTTGTCGTGTGACAATCGCCTCTCCACACTGTCCTGCTTACGAACAATCTGCAACAATTTGAATTTGGTTGAGAAAATTATTATAGGCTACTTAATGTTGTAATATACATGGTATGAAAAATTAATTGATTTTCATGATACCTTGTTAGGCACCACTTTTTTATGAGAGATGATAGTGTTTAAAATATATTTCGATCTTTGATCACTAATGCTGAAAAAAAAAAAAAACATTTGACAGTCACCAAATTATGAGCAGTATATGCTATGGATTCCAAATTAATTTCTTAGATAAAACCTGAGGTAAGTGGTCACTGATGGTATGCAGGTGAATGGTAGGAGGGACCTGGGCCACTGCTCATGCACTGACTGTACGTCTCTACGGTAACACCTGTCTTGACACAAGGTATGGTAGCCCAAGATGGGCTTGGGTTGGTGGTGAGAGATCTGGTTGCCGTTCAAAGACTTGCGATTCTCATCATTGCTGGTGCGATGAGAAGATGTCCAGGGGTATCACTGGACTGCTTTCTTAACCTGACCCAGATTGATCTGCACATAAAAATTATGGCAAGGATGGCTGCCTACAGAATCCAGAGTAAAGACCTTTAGATGAACATAGAAGAATTTTGGCTCGTAGCTGAAGAGCTGGCAAATGTGCCCCTAGCATTATACCTTGTGAAACAAAACCCTTTCGTTAGAATTCCTTGTGGGTATGTATATCAGTCAGTCGTGTTATGGGCTCAGGAGGAGATGGGTAAGGCGTAAGCATCACAGGACAAGCCAGCTCACTCTACGCTCCTTTTTCCAGACGGTTGCCTACAAAGATCTACAATTAAGACACAACATCATTCTGAGGAGACTGCATTTTACCTACTTTACAACTGCACAGTTCTGAATTAAGTAATGTAAGGTGGCGTGCTGCTGCGATGATAGGTTTGTTGAAGGTTCTTGGGAAGACTTCCTGGCCTAAGTTATAATACTAACCATTTACTAAATAGTAAATGGTAAATAGTAAATTATAAATATAATTTACATACAAGTATGATCATAAAGTTGAAGACTTGCAATGATTTACAAAGCACAGTGTGGGGCATCTTAAACTCACAGGTGGCGGTGGTTTAGTCTCTGGCTGGTTGGTTTCTGCTGGTTTCTCCTTCTTGGTGTCTGATGTTTCCACCTCTGCTCTCTTTTTCGCTCCTTCTGTGTCATCTGCAACTGCAATAGAATAATTTTGTAAACATTACTTTTTTTTAATAATTTCACAGAGTATTTAGGCCAATAGCGTAAAAACACAGTAAAATCAAATGTTTTAGACTTCTATACCTTTTCTCTGAAGTATTTTATGTTCGGCAGTTTTAATCTTTGAGAAACCTAACTAGATCTAAGTGATTGTCTATTAGGTTTGTAAAACATGTGTCAAGGAATGTTTCAGAACTTGTTGTGAGATATGTGGTGTGATATTTTTCATATGAGACATTTTGCAGAGTCAGATTTACTCTGACTGTGATTGCAAGTTTTTGCTACAGGGGAGTTTTTATTAATTTATTTTAGAGTAGAAGATAGTTCTTTGAATAATCAAATTTCTTATCTTCTTGTAACTTAGGAAAACCAAATGTCTCATTTAAAATCAAAGGAAACATGGGGATGATACATGCTCAGTAAAATTAATACAGTAGAACCCCTCATATCCGGCCACCACAGGACCAAGCCCCTGGCCGGATAACGATTTGGCCGGATAAACCAACCTACTAACTTATGAAAATGACAATTCATACCTAATAATAATAGGTAACTTAATCAATATATGCAATCAAAAGTATAATTTAATTCTGTTCTGGGATCATTTTTAGAAAAAATAAACATGTTTGTAAAACGAAAATTTGAAGGTTAAAGTCATTAAGTAATGAATGTACAAATATTATGATTTCAGGTAACAAAACCTATTAAATGGAGGTAAAAATGACAATAAATTGTACTTCAAGATCATTAGGACTTAAATGGTACATGCATTTCTACTCAACATTCTTATCCATTTTGTGAAACCAATATAAAAATGAATGTACTGTACTGTACTAACCCCACTTTGGAAATAATCAACCAACTGATCAGAGGTTAGGCCTACTAGCTCAACTGAGTATAGTGACTCAGCAAATAACTGTATATACAAACAGATAAGTAAAGAGAACAATTTATTTTATGACTTGAGCAGTCACAAAGACTAAGTTTAGTGCTTGCATCTAAACGTCTGTAAGCTGTGAGAAAAAACATTTTGATATTGGCTTCCTAAAAGGGGCCGGATAAACAGAAGACCGGTAAAACCAAGGCCGGATATGAGGGGTTCAACTGTAACAGGATATCCAAAGGCTCCTGAAGACTTTGATTATTTGATTGTTTGGCAAAGAAACAAATTGTGAATTTTATAACAAATACAAACCTCATATTAGAACAAAAATTATTTTGAAAACTGACAGTAAGTGCAGTACTTACGTTTAATTTCCGAATCACTCTTGAGCGAGGCTGTGTCATCTTCTCCATTGTCCAGGTCCAGAGGCAGCTGGGATGTACGGTGGTCCTGCATGCATAATAAAGGATAAATAATAAGCAAACTACCAACATAACATTACTTTGATAAGATAGGCCAACTGCTTAGAATTACATCAGAGTAACACATATTTTAAGGTATATTCAAAGAAAACAGTTGAGCCCTTTTAATATGTAATTCTTTAATGGGATAAATAAGAAATGGAAAGGGTTAATGGTTTAAGAACAAGATCACACTCAAAAAGGTTCATTGCAAGAAATAATATACATGGTAACACACGGGAGACTGACTGTTTTTATCTGCATAGTACTGAGAGTGCGGTGGTGGGAGGAGGTCGTGGTGGGCATACTTCTGCTCTACACAAGATGTCATTTCAACTCAGTCACTATGGGTCTTGCAATGTTAAGTGTTTGGCTATGGCAGATTCATGAGAATTGGTGAGTCTATTTCAGCTACACATTGATTGTTTTGTGCACGGTTTAATGTGGGTCGACAATGACCTGTCCCGAGCCGTAACATAATCAGATGGGTGAAAAACTTCAGATTGACTGGAAACATACTGGATAAGAAGCATCCTGGCCCAAACACTTTATAATGACATCATAAAATGTTAAAAGGGTAAGGGAAGAAGTAGTCAGAAGCCCAGGACGGTCAGCTAGACGTTGTGCTAGTAAGCTACGAGTTAATCGTGAATTGGTTACACAAATTTTGAATCCAGTATGTTATAGCTATAATAATCCAGTATCTGAGGATTATGTTATAGCGCGGAACAGCTCAATGTCGACCTACATTAAACCATGCACGAATCAATTGCTGTGTAGCAGTTAATAGACTCGCCACTTCTCGTGAAACTGCCATAGCCAAACAATCAACGTTGCAAGTCCCACAGTTCCACAGTGACTAAATAAATAAAATGGCGTCTTGTGTAGAACAGAACTATGCCCACAACGACCACCTTCCACCATCGCACTCTCAGTACTACGCAGATGAAAACCGTCTTGTGTGTCACCCTATAATTACAATATATACCACAAAATATAGTTGAAGTTCAATCTGGTCTACAACGATCGGTTTATACCAGACAATTAGGATTCAAGTATTACAAAGGTAAAGAAGACAGATATAACCAAGGATGGGTTAGGTTTGTCCCACTCAACATAAAAATACTTCAACCAACATAACAGAAAATATTGGACAAATACTGTCTGCTTATGAGTTGTGTAAATGGATAGGGAAAATTGAAACTGAAAGCTTTATCAATCTTTGCTGAAACACAGCAAAATATGTAAAAAGAAAACTAATTATTCAGTGTTAACTTTTAACACCTAACAGCTATTATAATAATGAGGGAAGAAAATTTAAATAAATTTAAAAGAACGCTAAAATATTTTGAAATCCAATTATCATTTTACTAGTGATGGGTCGGTACTACTTTTATAAAGTCGGTACGCGTACCGGTTCCTAGCCAAAATTGATTTTCAGTTCTCTGTTCTGAGTAAAATAAGTACCATCGGTACCTTATGAACATCTCTTGCGGCCATGTAGACGTCATCATCGTCTCATGGGATCGCGGTAACGTCATTGTCATCACAACAAAAATCATCTCCCACGATCACGGAAACGTCATCGTCATTTTGCGCGATCGCGGCAATATTGGTACAGTTGAGTCCCGTTAGTCCGAAATGGATGGGACCGGGCCCATTTCGGATTACCAAATATTTCATATTAAACGGTTATTGTTAATTTTTTATTTTTTTTTTAAATTAAAAAAAAAATTAAGTTTTTTTATTTTTTAATTTTTTTTTTCTTAGGATGCCAGGCACGAGTCTAGGATTGTTTTTCACATTACTTAAGGCTAGACCTAGTGGCTGCAGCATTATCACTTAATAAAATCCATTTGTGTTTTGGCGGGATTGAAACCAGGGACGAAAATGGAAAATTTTAATAACAAAAATGGTGAAATATTTACTAAAGTACTCTACAAAAAAGTCTATCTCGCCTGGCCGCTACAGAATACTTTGACAAGATACAGCTAACTGTGTTAAAAGTTTAATAAAAAAAATAGAGAAAAAAATGTTGAAAAATTTATTAAAAATTTAGAAAAAAATTTTAAAAATAAAATTTTTTTTTCGGATTAAGCGGACTTTCGGATTACCGATGTTCGGATTATCGGGACTCCACTGTAATTTTTTAGCATTCCGGTTCCGGTTCTTTTACCAAGAACCGGCGGAACTGACATTTGACGTGCAGCACCGACCCATCACTAACTTAGAAGACTTTATTAAAACAAAATTTAGTAGGTAACCCTAAATAAATTCAATTTAAATTTCATAACAAAATTAGGGGAGTGGTTTTCATCATGTTTAAGAATAATTTTTTGTTTAAAATATATTTTAGCCTGGAAACTAAATGTATATTAACATTTTGTAGCATTTCTGTATAGCCTATTAGCTATACAAATGATTTGATGTTAAATGAGGATGATGCAGTAAACCGTACAACATATAGAAAAAGTGTTTAACAAATTAGAAAATAAAAATACAAGTCATCAAATTTGTTTACACAAGTTACCCAACAATTCAATTTTACATAAGATTTGAACTATTATAAAAGATATATATGATTCGTACCTCAGAGGGAGTCATGCAGATTTGGGGTTCCAATAAGTCGCATGCACAACAGACAAAAACTGTCACAATGAACACAAAACATGCACGTGCAATACTTTGACACAGAGATGAGATGTATGTAACCTTGGTTGGTACTCATACGCGTCTTAATAAAAATGAATAAATTAGTCTTTCATCTTGTATAATATTGAGGGACTAAGTAGAAAAACAAATAAGTTAAGACGTTTGTTATTCTGTGCCATGCAAACCACATTTGTGTACAGAGCCTCCTAAATATATCAATACATCTCCTACTGCCATAGTGTGTTATTATGAATGTGAAGGAACAGTTACACCATCAAACTAAGGCTCCAGTGTTGTAAACAGTTTTTAAACCGAAATAAAGAATGTTTCCAGTTGATACACTTTCTCTGAATGCAGTGTTGTTTAAGTCTAATATACCACTTAAGTATTTTGTTGCTGTACTACAAAATATTAAGAACACCTGTCATCATAGTATTACATCATCAATGACATAATTTCTATAACAATAAGAGGTAATGATTGTTTTGTAAAAAAGTTAAACACAATAGAAGTAAGGTTGATTTTACCTTTAACCTTAAAAGTAGGCCTATTATTGTAGGGGTTTTATGGTTGACCAGTAAGGGCCTTGAATTGACACTAGCAGATAGACGATATGGTGCTCTGATACTGATATATATCGATATTTTGCTTGCGATATCATCGGCTTATATCGGAAGAATCATGTGATATTGGAAAAATAACTACCATGCTTGTACCGGAGACAAAAAGTAGTACCAAACTAAACTATTAAATGTTTCAACTAACAGAATCAAATTTTTTTTATAAACTCCTACAAGTGCAGTTTTTTTTTTAGTTTATTAAAGGTTGAATCAGTATTGGTATAAATTCAATGAGGAATTGTATTCAGTATCGTATTGAAATTGAAACGATGAATGTAGGCCTATCCTTCCGCGCATTCCGGTACTAGCCGTGTTTCCATACGTGGGATTATTATCCCGAAAACAGGATTTTTAGAGCATGAGCGGGATTTGAAGGGGATGTGGGATAAAACAGGAGTTTTGGCTATGACGTCCGTTTTTATTTACTATGCTTTATTTTAGTGAAAAACTAACCCCAATCGAAAAAATTACCTTAACAAAATATAATAGCAATGTTAAAACAACTATTTAAACACAATATGTCTAATTTAACACTCAGAATTTAACATCAAAAATCATAAGAGATTAAACGGGATTTCTTAACCCAGTGACCGGGATTATATTATTTTGGTCGTGTAGAAACACTGGGAGCTCGGTGCGTTCAATTAAAGCCAGTAATCAGAGGGTGATGATAGAATGTCTGTCGATGTTCGATGTTTTTTATATCGATGGTAGGTTCCCGATGTTTTTGTCAAACTTCGATGTTTTTGACCAAGTATTGAGACGTAAATGCAAAATGTAGCATATCTGTAAAAAATGTAGTCTTTCAAGAGACATTTAAGATTTTTTCCGAAATTCTCTGACTTTTCCCTGACTTTTTAGACCAACAAAATTCCCTGACATTTCCAGGTTTTCCCTGACCGTACCAACCCTGCACTCTCAGTGTTTAAATGTTTATCATAAAAACAAAATATAGAACTACAATATTTTAAATAATATATTTTAATTACTTACATTAAAAACAATAAATAATTAGATTCCACTTTTTTAAGGTATTATCTTAGAAGGGATCTTAGAAAAAACATTTATTAGGACTGGAAATATAGTTCATTTCACCCATGTTAAAATTGTCACGAAATTTACTTATTGTTCTAGTATAGAATAAATACTAATTTTACATGCAAGGAATATTAGCAGATCACAAATGCTAGTCTTTCAAAAGAAAACCAGTGGACACTCATAATTAAAATCAAATGGGATATTTTGTTGTATCCAACATCTACTTAATTTAGGATCTTTGATGATATTAAATAATCATATTTATCAAGACAAAGGTTTGCAGTTTTGGTGAAATGACTTTGTGATTACATGGAACAAATAGTTGTGCTTGATTTCAATTATTCAAATTAAACACAAAACATGTAGACATGTAAACATACAAAAAATCAATAATAGCAGTTGGAATGTATATTATTCTGACTTACCAACTCTTTGATATTGTTCCTTGTACTTTTTCCTATTCCTAGCACGCTAGAGGAGTAAGTAATGAAAATCAGTTTTATTAACTGTTAAAGAGATAACGTAATTATAGAATAGTAATCTGAATCAGTTCTGGAATCCAATCCATACAAAATTAATGGCTCTTCAGTATCTTATTACAATCAGTTCAGTAAAATTATGATGATTGTGATTATCATCTAATAAGATTAACAAAATGAGGGTATTTGACTTAAGGTACTAGGTTACCACAAAGACGCTAGTATAAACCAATATTATTTTATTGAATTACTGCTAGAAGCGAAACACATAAATTTCAATATTATAGCAGAAATAATTATCTACTTGACTTAGCTTATGTAAGATGAGAAAAAAAAAACAAAGAGAAGCCATTTTTATAAAGATAAAACTATTCAATAAACAAATACCCCCGCCGCAACAAACCTGCAGACTAAGTGAATTTCAACTTGTCTAATTACATATTTATTTACTAAAATATTTCCATAAATAAATAAGACATATTTATTCCAATTTAAAGAACATTAGATTTAACGAGTGCTTAGGTTTGCTGCTACGGGGAAGGTAATCAGTGTATTTTGACCGAACATCAATAGTATAGGAAGAAATAAATAAATTTGCCAAATTTTATCAAAATATATCTATAAACAAGTAAACTACCACAGTTTTCATTTTCACCATAAGAATAACATGGGAATTTTAAATTTGCACTTTTTTGAATTTTCTCCGTAACCATTAGGCATACAACAATGCTTCAATATACTAAATTATTTCTCTTTTTGAGCTCTACAAAATGGTTGGGAAAGAATTTCCAAAATTTTATGTTTTTAGGGTCAATAATGGGAAAAACCCATTTTTACCCTATAAAATCCCCCATAAACCCCCGTTCCCATGGTCCGATCATGCTGGTTCGCGAACTCGTTTGAATAAATGTAGGTTTACACGTGTTTACCGAATTTCATCAAAATCGGATAATTTTTGTTTGAGTTATCGTGCTAACGGACACACACATATATATATAAAAATATATATATATAAATGAATTTAAACGGATAGTGTTTTTGGCCTCTGGGGACCTCAAAACGAAAAAATAAATCGGTTCCGGGTCCAGGTCTTACCATGAGACCTACGGTAATAGCTTATTCCCTATATGGGAAATTCGCTAAAAAAGTGTTGATTGTTTTCTTCAAACAAATTGTAAGTACGGTATCAGTTCTAAAACATTAGTTGAAAGAAAATGTGTTTATAACATATGCAGACTGTAATATGGTGTGTGATATTAGTGCTATGGTTTTTAGATTAATAATGTTATTATTGTTTGTTTAAGCTTTGTTGTTGACCATTTCATATAAATATATTGTTGTCTTTTAAAGTTTAATTCCATGTTAACGATTTTATTTTTCGTCACACTGCAGCAAAAGCAGCTTTTTTTATTTATGCACTGCAGATCTGAAGTAGCTCTTTTACTCCCTGGTAGTAAAATGGCCTTTTTAGTCCCCAGGGAGTAAAAGTCAGCTATTGTTAAGTTTGACGCAAGCAATCACATATGTATACAAATTATGTACGACTGATTTAATCAGTTAGTTGTAGCTTATTGTTGCATTCTTGTCAATAGTTTGACATATCGATGGTATAATGTACACTAACACAGTCGTAATGGAAGAAGTGATTGAATCACTTTTTAAACAGCTGTTTCTTTGCATTACCGGTATCAAGATCGAAAACAAGTTAAAATAATGTTTAAAAGGTTATTTTTACAAAATTACTTTTGTTTTCTAACTTTGTTTGTTAAAAATGTTGCAGTATATGAAGGAAAATATAACTAATCACACAGGGAAAAAGTGTCTTTTCCACTTTTCAACCCTTGCTCATTTTTTATAATACTTTCAGAGCTTGGGTCGAAGAGTCATTTTACGCCCAAGTGATGAAATATACTATTATCGCTAGGTAAACAGGTTGTTATTCTCAAGTTGAATTCTTGCTGGATTTTGAAGATAAAGGTTTGTATGTTAAACTTAAGAAAACAGTAGGCCCAAAGACAATTTCTATTGTAATACTTGTATTACTTTATGACAAATCTTAATCCTTGAAGGTAAGTTCAAACTTGAAGCTTTTATACTTTTCTGAGACAGAAAATATAATATACTAGGAAACCTGTTGAGGGAAACTTGTGCTTCTATTCTAGTAATTGTAGTAAGATTATTAGATAAGTTATACCGCCTTTGGTCCTAACTTTTGTCTGAATAAGTGATTGTTGATCCTGAGGGTTTTTTCTGAGAATGTCTCCTATAGTTTTGAAAGCTTGGGAATGAGAATTTACTTTCCTCAGTTAGTTTTGAACCTCTTTCATTATAGTCAAGTTACAGCCCGTATTTTATGTTGCTTCGTGTCTCATTCTGGCTGCTTGTTCAGTGTCATAAAAATAAATTTTGGCATATTGGCTATTTTACGATCATCTAAATTTTGATTATAGGAATATTTAATTGACTTTTAATTGGATTAATTAATCACTTAAATTGCTAGCCTACGATGAACTTGGCGATTAACAATAAAATCATAAGGTCCGCCAAGGTTTGGTTTAATCTTACTACTTGAGCTTAATGCTTTAGTCAAAGCATTATTAAAGTTTCCACTAAAGGGTTTGAAATGTCTCGATCTGTCAGGATTACCAGTATATATATCTTATATGTATTAATTTGATCTCACATTAGGCAAGTTTACTTTACCACCGTCACAGAACAATGTGTAAATTCTTCGTGTATTTTTTTTACTTCCAAAGTAAGTTCCATAGCAGAAATGGCAAATATTATTCATCACTTCAAATGAGTGTGTATCTGGATTTCTTACTGTTAGACCAAGCCTCTCTTCTTAAACTTTTCTAATATGCATAAGATCTCTTATTAATTGTCTCCTCCTCCTGTTATCAATTTATCAATATCTCTTTTTAAACTTGAGACTTTTACTGTTCTTCCATCAAAACTGATAACCGGTTTACATTGGACTTTGACCTCATGAATATTATAAACATCAATATTTTACTCCCAAAAAATATGCTATGTTTCTTATTATAAACAGATGTTTATTGTTTTTATGTAATTCTCATAGGAAAAAACTACCTTTGAGAGTCCCTAGCGCCCTTAAGGTTAAGATTGTTTAAATTTTAAAACCATATTGACAAACTAAATACTGTGACAAATTTTTTAACAGCTTTAACATTGAAATTGGTGCACAAAAATAAGGGAGGTATAGACCAGAACCAAGTTAAGAATATTTAACACCAACGTAAAGCCAGTTTTACTTTATGGATATGAAACGTGGAAAGTTTCTCTAGCAATCACAAACAAGCTACAGGTATTTGTGAACCGGTCCTTTAGAATAATTTTAAGAATATACTGGCGAAACGTAATCTCTGATAAAGACTTGTGGACAGCCACCAAAGAGGAACCCATTGATCTACAAATTTAAAAAACGGAAATGGCAATGGATAGGATACACCCTGCGCAAGGATCAAGACGCAGTGGAAAAACAAGCTTTGAGCTGGAATCCCCCAAGACAGAGGAAGAAAAAAACATGGAGGAGAACAATTGAAGCCGAAATCACAGAGGCAGGAAAGAGCTCGAGAGAAGTAAAGGTATTGGCTGCTAACCCTATTCATTGGCGCTTTTTCGTAGAGGCCCTATGCTCCGCTAAGGAGTGACAGGAAATAAGCCAAGTAAGTCAATGTGCATTACAAAAACCATGGATTCAACAAGACGATTTCTAAGTAACTATTTTTTTTTTTTATTTAACTGTTTCTCAAGTTTGTCATCATACATTTTTTTTTAAGGTATTGCAAATATGTGTAGGTTTTTTTACACTTATCTTTTCACTGATAACCAAGTTGAAACATGTTACATAAGTAAAAGGTAATGAGAGTTTTATTGATGGGATTGGGAATACCACGACCATCTACTTACTCTTTGAAGATTTTGTAAAAGAAATGAGGAAATGTAATGATTTATAAATATACTATAGAACACATTTTGAGAGGCCAGTTATCTATACATATAAAAGGCAAAGCCCTCCCTGACTGGCTAACTCACTCACCAATCACTCCTCCTACTTCCCATTTACCTAGGAGACTAAAATTTGAATAAAATTGACATTAAGTAGGAAAACTAAGTAGTTTTTAATCTAATCTGACTTTCAGGCTCGGTCCCAGTGTATTCTGTTGTTTCCCATGTTAACATAAGTATCTATATATTTAATTGGAAAATGTTTTTTTTTGTCTCTGCTAGTTTGAGAGAATGGCTGGGCGTAGAAACTGGGTAGAGGTGTCTAAAGAAAGACTGTAGATGAGCCATCAAAAAAGAAACAAGGTAAATTACCCCGGGGCTCTGCCCCATTGACCTTGTTTACATTATGACCATATATGGTTATTTTACACTATAATTATCTAACACAGCTGTCAATATTAAAATCTTCTTTTAAAGATTAATAAGTAAATAAAAGCTAAAAGCACTGTAGTGAAAATTATAAAACCCAATTTATAGATTTAAATAAGCTTTGATGCTTGACAGTTGAATTGAAAGAGTTAATGTGCGTTGTGGTTATTGAAGCCTGAAAAAGCAGTTTACAGCTAATTCAAATCACCTAGTCAATATAAGCTTTAGCCTGTACAGTAAAAATGTGTTGGTTAATCTGAAAACCAAATAGCTACAGACCTCAGCTTCTTCATCAACAACCTCTTCTTCAACAACTTCTGCTTTATACTCCAACAACAAATCTCGTACTGGCTTCACATCCAAGTCTGGGGCGATGAACGGGTGCTATAATTAAAGAAAAGCTATTAAAAAAGTATAATTGTATAAATAGCATTCATATTTTAAATGAATGGGTAGTAATGTTCTCCCCAACTCAACTATTGGATACCACATAATTATTTAGGAGAGATGTGTGTGCATCTTGATTTTGAAGCCGAGCCCAGCCTAGACTACTAGTTTGAGAGATCAAACATCAAGTCAGAAGATCAAGTTTGAGCCAAGGTTTTTACGATTTAGATCACAGGGGGCATCTGCAACAATTCACGATTGAAAAATTCATGCCTACGCCGTGATTGCGGATGATAACAATAAGGCTTCTGAAACTGTGGGAGACGATAAAGATGTTTATACAACCAGTGTAGATATCCAGGATTTTGATACGATCGGGGAGAACGATGGTGATGTCTACAAAACCTTGGTAGATATCCATGATTATGCTGTGATCACGATAAATTTATAATGATATCGTAGCAATCATGGATTATAGTTGTGTTAACATTGTGAAAAATGCAAATGCACTAAATTTATGATTAAGTACCAACCTTAACAAACTGTTTTTTTTTTTTCTTACAGGTAACCATATCACCATGCTTTAAGACTCATGACTGATTAAGAAATGTGGTAATTTAAATTAAAAGAAAACCAATAAAGCAAGATGATCAAGATAAGCAAGATGCAAAGAAATCTGAAATATTGTCCTTGATCGAAAATATTTACTTACATATATTTTGAATAATAACATTTATGCTAATGCATTTCAACATTATTTTTAAAATCTTAATAAATTAAGTTATTAAAATCTTAATAAATTAAGTTATTTTTTTTATTGTTAAAGTAGTTATATTTATTATATAAATTCAAATTCAAATTCTTTATTTACTCATCACATCTTATAATGCACAAGGTACAAAAGATTGGAGTGTCGTCAGAATATAAACTAAAACTAAAACTAAACTAAAAATAATAAAGTTAACATAAGTAAAATATCTCATATAACTAGAAAAGACCTTATCATTCAGCGTATCAGTTTAAAAAGTATCCTTAAAAAACTCTTCTACAGTGTAGTATGGTTTTTGTAAGAGAAGTTTATGTACAGATGTAAGGGCTAAGTTTTTGGAATTATTTTTTTGTAAAATGCTGTACAATTTATTATAAACTTTTACTGCCATGTATTTTGGAGAGTTTTCATAGAATGAAAGCCTATGCCGAGGAAATTTCAATTTGTTCTGATGTCGTGTTGGATAGGTATGGTTGAATTTACAGTCATCAAAAATTTTAATATCATTAAACATTAGTTTAACAATTTCAACTATGTAAAGATTTGTAAGTGTTAAGATACCAATATCTTTAAATAAAGATCTGCAGCTTTTTCTTCTTTTAACTCGGGCCATAGTCCTCACTATTGATTTTTGAGCGTTAAAAAGGATTTTAGTTTGGGGCTGACATCCCCAAAGTACTATTCCATACCTAATTATTGATTCGATGTAGGCGTGGTATACCATTTTACATACATCCATTGATGTTGTATTACTAATTACACTGAGTGCAAACCTAAACGAATTCAACTTTTTGGACAGATATTGAATATGATTTTCCCATTTTAGTTTATAATCAAAGTGTATTCCTAGAACCTTGTGGGTATTGACTGATTTTAGCTCTCCACAAGATAAATTCTCCAAATTGTCCAACTTATTGATACCGTAGGTATTCTTAGTTCAGAAATCACACAAATTTTCAGAAAACATTGCCTTTTGAATTAAATTTAATTTATTATTTGATGACCTTTATTCTAAATTTAGTTCCTTGATTCAACTCAACATCATAACATTATATTGCATTTTGAAAAGAAAGTTTGTGACAAATTAACTCTTTAGTCTGCATGAAAACCCTGTTTCCTGACCCTCCGTCTACCTGGAACTGGCCTCGGCCTTAAACCACTGGCCAGTCTCCAGGTTGACGGAGAGATCAGGAGATAGGTCCTATCTTACAAACTTGTGGTATTACATGAAAATTCATTAAAGTTGAGGCTTGAACACCCTTATTATTTAGACAATAGAAAATAACAAATCATCTTACTCAGATATACTTGTAAGTTTCAATTCACGTGTAAGACTTTAAACCTAATTTTTTTACATTAGTTTCAGATATAAAATGCATTGTGACATACTGAATGGCTGCTCAGTTGGTAAATGATATGACTGGAGTTATCTTATCAGTATTTATTACTTCCGTATTTACATGGTTTTAGTCAAAGAATGGTGAACAAAACAATTCATTCCAAACTGACAATGCAATTGATGTGTGATCACTATTCATCCAATGATCACAGTTTAAATTTTCAATTTTAAGAGACAGGAGTTAAAATACCAATGACTTTTAAAAGATTGTCATGAAGCTTTTAGAAAATTTATCATCAAAGGTAATACTATCACCTGGTAGATCTGTCCCTAATAATCAAGGTTTTACAAGTGTTTTAACATCAGGAAAATGTTAGCGAGTGATTCATAACATGAGCCTTACCTTCAATAATTCGTCCGATGTTGGTCTTTGCGTTGGATCTTTAACCAAGGCTTTAGCTATGAAATCATTAAAGTTTTTAGACCATTTTGATGGCTGGTCCAGTTTAGGAGGATCTGATTTTTGAATTTTCAACAACACTCTCATTGGAGACATTTCGTGATTAGGAGGGTCCATTTGAGCAAATTCTATCATTGTGATCCCCAGTGACCAAATGTCAACCTAAAACAAATAATAACAAATTATTTCCTGATTGGAACATGTTTTGAAACTATCAAAGCAAACTTGGAAATAAAGCCACAATGGTCTCAAAGTGACTACATATACAGATGGACCGTAGACATTGAAATTTAGCAATGAACTTCTTGTGAAAAATTATGTATTTTTACAATATTACCTATAAATATCAATATACCTACCTATAATATAGTTGGAGGTTTAAGACAATAGAAAAATCTAAAATCATCACATGTTTTCCACGCCATAAATAGAATATAGTCCTACAAGTAAAAAAAAAAAAAAAAAGAAAGAAAGGTATTATAACAGTGTCAAGATGATCACATTTTACATTTCATTTTAATAATTGCTAAATGCAATGAAATGTTTTAAAATCTTTTACCTTTATTTAGCCTTTTATTTTGAAGGGGAACCCAAACCCAAGTGACTGAATAGGATTTTTCGAAGAGTTTAACTACCTTACCCGAAAAAGTTAGTTAGGGTGCTAATAGATACACCAATAAGTCATAAAACATTGACATTGATATTTCGTCATATTACAGTATAGACTTTTTCATTAAGCAGGTTGAAAAGAAATCTTATCTTAAATTATTTTAACATATTTTATTAAAGTAAATTGAAACAACAAACAGTGGTTTAAATAGGCCTAAAATCTTCATTGAGTTTTTTGATTGCATAAGCATTCATACATCTGGGCCTACATTGAATGTTCCATATTGCTTGAGTTATAACTCAAGTCATAAACTCAGAGTCAATATCAAAGTCATCTTCAGTATTGTCATTTAACCCATTGGGGAAGGAATTAATGCGCTACCTGCAGCACCCTCTGGCGGCAATTAATTTTACCGAATTTGTAGACTTTTACTCTAACTGCTATAGAAAGAAAACCTTAGGTAATAAATTAATAATTCTTTCACCATTTTGTTCACAGTAAAATTGTCTACAGAAAAGTGGTAATTGGATAGTCAAAGTTCTAAACTAAAAATATACATATAAAACAGATTATACAATAAACAGATTAAAAAACAACCTTTTAATACAGTTTTGATTGATAATTTCAAAAGATTAAAAAATGAACTAAATAAAAATATTAGGGAAACCAAAAATAAATATTATAGGGAAAAAATTTTGGGGTATAAAGATAATCCGAAAAAGTTTTGGGGGGTTTTAAATGAATTGGCGGGTAGAAGCACTAAACATGACATTTTCCCACTTTCTCAATTCACATTAAACAAACCATACGCAAACACTGACGACGATATGAGACCGCGGGTGGCCAACGAATTCAACGCCTATTTTACCCAAGTTGGTTCAAACATGGCAGCTAGAATTGATTCGAGTGGTCCACCTGTGGTACACGACTCTGACTATGCTGTTGACTCCGTCCTCACACTGCACACTGTTACTGAACATGAACTGTACGGCTACGTCACCAGACTGAGAGGAGGCTCAGCTCCAGGGTATGATTGTGTATCAGCTGATTTACTCAAGGAAAACTGGGAATCAATAAAACAACCACTTTTACACATCACTAACATGAGTATCCGGAGGGGAGTTTACCCCGACGCCTACAAAATCGCTAAGGTTGTTCCTCTATTCAAGTCAGGAGACTGCTCTAAGACTTCGAACTTTAGGCCGATCTCATTGCTGAGTGTATTTACCAAGGTTTTGGAAAAAATAATTAAAGACCAGTTAACTAATTACCTTAATCATTATAACATTTTAACTTCACGTCAATTTGGATTTAGGAAATCGAAGAATATCTCTGACGCCTTGTTTGAAGTTTACAGGGTGTCTACTACATTCTGGATAAAAAATTCATGGACAATTCCCGTACATTTAAGGACACTTTGCCGTAACCTTTGTCGGTGTCATTAGGCCTACCGAATAATTTTCCTGATTTGTCAAACTGTATTAATCTTGTTATTCACTGTAGTTGTACCAGAGAGAAAAGTAAATAATAATAGATAAGAGTTAAAAATAACAAAATAGAAATTTATTGAAAGTAAACAAACATAGGCCTACCTATACTTTAGGTAAAGCTTTTATAGTGTAACAGAGAAACGCAATCATTGTCTCCTGCGATAGCGACAAATATCTCCATCAGTCACGTAAACTTCATAACATAGCTTATCCGATCCAGGCCGATTAATTTGGCATGATTCGCCCTGGCACAACGTTAGGTTCTCGACTACTTTTGAAAAAAAATCTTTAATGCATATTGTTACTCAATTCTTCAAGGTTTGGTAAGCGGCTATTAATAAGCGATAAGCACAGAGTAAGATTATTGTATTTTCATTAGCAAAGTTAATATCGACACATAGCAATCATTAGTTGTTTATCTTAGGCTCAATTACATTTTATTAATATATTTTACAGCTCTTTCAAGAATCAAAATACCCAGGCCTAGACCTAATTATTTAGGAGGGCCTATATAAACTGAGTAACAATGAGGTTATAATAGCAGCAAAGTCACTATCATCATTCTAGTTCATAAGATTTTGATTGCTTAAAGCATACAACTCAATAAATAAATATATGGGAAACAAAAAACATTGAAACCTGAATAGCCAACAATATAAGACAAAGATACAGAAAATGCAATGACATAATTTGAAACCAAGCAGGCCTACATAGTGATAAAACATTAATGCAAACAACAATGCTTGTGGTTTTGTCAATTTAAAGATAAAATGTCCATAAAAAAGGGGTTAACTTACAAAATAAGACTGTAGATTATTTACATGTATGAAACCATAAACAGTTTTAAGGCACTAGGCAATCGCCGCGGCTTTCCGAAAGTACAAGTAAGAAGTGAAATTTAACAGCCATTATAAAGCTATTATTTTCACGATAAAATATGTTTGGGATCTAATAATAATTACCCTAGTAATAAAAAAAGAAGTTGTAAAGAAATAAAAGTGATACAACTTTTATGAGCTAGCTGCTGAGTCAACAGTTCTTGGAAGTACTTGACTTGACACTTGATTGTTGTGATAAAATATTAATGGGTTTGAGATTGTTAATGGGATTTTTATTGCATAATTACTCTAGTAATAAATTATGAAAATGTAAACAAACATCTGATAAACCTTTTATGTGCTCCTAACCAACTAGCGATCAATAAAATTATGGCCCATTAAAAATTTAAGGACATAGTCTAGCATTTAAGGACAATTCCCGTACATTTCATGGCCAGTAAAAATTTAAGTACAATTCCCGGTTTTCCTGGATTTCCCGGTTGGTAGACACCCTGAGTTAACAAAGATATTAATTTAGCTGTCAATAAAGGAAACAAGGTCGTGCTGGTATTTTTTGATTAAGCTAAAGCCTTCGACTCTGTCGACAGATCAATACTATTAAAGAAAATGGAGTTAATTGGAATAAAAAACATTTCATTAGCATGGTTTAAATCATATTTTTTAGATAGAAAACAATTTGTAGTCATAAATGGAGTTCAGAGCAATTTAGCTGAAGTAGACTATGGTGTAGTTCAAGGAAGTACCCTTGGTCCTTTATTATTTCTAATATATATGAATAACCTAGTTAAAATCGACATTGAAGGTAAGTTTTATCTCTTCGCAGATGACACTCTAGTATTATTTGAAGGTAAAGACTGGGAAACAGTATTCAACCTCGCAGAAAGAGGTATTTCAAAAATTAAAAAATGGTTTGATCAAAATGTTTTGACACTCAATGTAGATAAAACTAAATTCATGCCAATCGCTTTTAGTCATCGTGGTGATACACTCATAAATGAGTTGAAAATTCATTCTTGTGCTAATTTTGATTCGGATTGTGACTGTCCAGTGATAGATAGAGTGAAAAAATATAAATACCTTGGCATAATGATTGATTCTAAACTTTCATGGGCAGACCACGTATCATATCTAAATAATAAACTAAGAAAATATATCTATGCTTTTAACCAGTTACAGCAGATTTTGGAGTTTGAAGAAATCAGAATTGCATATTTTGCTTACGTGCAGTCCCTACTTGACGGAGGAATAATAGCCTGGGGCTGTGCATATGGTTATATTTTAAAGCCATTAATTATCACCCAAAAAGCGATAATAAAAGCAGCCTTAGGCAGGAATCGGCGCTACCCTTCGGATGCTCTCTTCAATGAAATGAACGTTCTTGACATCAGACAATTATTTATTCGAACCATGACTATTTACATATTCAAACACTCGAATGACATTTTTGAAAGAGTAACACACGAATACAGAACCAGACATGCACTAGGTGGAGGAATTTATTTACCGAGACTAAATAGAACTTACTCTACAACAAATTGCTACTATGTTGCTCACACTATCTACAACAATCTGCCCTACAACTTACGCGAAAACTATTTTGGACCACTGGTCAAATACAAAAAACAAATTACCCTATGGCTACAAAGCATTGGGAGATCAACTGCTCAAAATTTACTGATCTCAACCTACAGACAATGAACAACCTACAGGCAACAAATTTACACTCACATCAGCTGATAGAGTGAAAGAACAATTGTATGCAAGCACGTATGTGAGCTGTTCCCGATTCTGCGCCACAGGGACAGAGCATTGACGGCCCTAGGGCTACCAGCCGCCTGTTGGTGTCGGAGTGAGTGCAGCAGTGTGAGTGTGCGTGTGCCTGTGTGTGTGTGTGTGGGTGTGTGCGCGCGCGTGTTGGGTGTGCTTGGGAAATACAGTAGCAGGTTATCTTTTGGGGGTAGGGTAGGGGGGAGGTGGGGGGCACCATCAGGGCCGGTTTAACCCATACGCGAACTACGCGGCCGCATATGGCGCCACAAAAAAGTGGCGCCAACGGAACATTTGTTTTTTTAGTGAACAACGTAATTTTGTTTATTTTTGCTCAGAGTTCAAGTATTCAAAGCACCACAATAAAGGCATTTATTCTGTTTGTACCAACAGCACTTGAAAATTTTGTATATTTGTACAGCACTACCTCAAGGACTCAATGCCATTTGCAGTTTC